TTTAATTTCCTTTTGCATCGTTGTTCCAATATCTGAGTCTTAGAGAGAGAGAGAGAGAGAGAGAGAGAGAGAGAGAGTGTGTGTGTGTGTGTGTCAAGAATTAACAAACAAGTCCAACCTATCATGCTTACCAGTGTAATCTTTCAAAGGGCAACTGAAAACAGGCATGGATGTAGTGCCTTAGCCCTGGTGAGTTATGAACACTGTTTTTGTACAAAGCTAACAGCACTTCCTCCTGCATTCTCCTCAAAAGTTCCAGGTTTTCCATCTCTGTGGTACAGTGATTGCAATTCACTCATGCAAACTTAAAGCCTACAGCTTATTGCAAAGCCACAGTGTACTGCACATTTGGTTGGAATAAACTTGTGGTGTTAACTAGTATTTCCTTAGGTTTCATATTTTAGGTATATTTTCCTCCTAACCTTCAACCCTTTTACCTGCAAAAGGAAGTATTCATGCACTCAGATATACAGAAATTGACATTACCAACAAAGAGATGGTGATAGTGAGTAACAAACTTCAATATAACCAAAAATTCCTAGCTATGCATTTGAGCAATACCTCATAAAAATCTTAGTCTGTGCTCCGTCCTCTTAAATAAAAACAACAGTATGAGAGATACAAAAAGTCTAGTTGGTAAGGATAAGAAAACACAAAAATGCATATGTATCTACAAAGAGCTTATCAAGATAGTATAACCTTGAATTCTGTAAATTCTATTTTCAATTAAGTATTCCACACAATTTAACTCAAAACTTGAGAAATTCAGTATATGTGAAGATGCAATAAATATTATAAACGGCATATTTAAGGGATTTGTTTATTTTTGGTTTACAAACAAAGGCACCCAATGTTTCTATTGATGTCTTATAAAAGCTTACAGATTTAACATTTCTTTTAGAGTATCTGTTCCTATGGCAGAAAATCCCATTATAGGAAAAAGCACTTTTCCCTTGGTCCCATATTTTAAATACCGGTATACCCGTTTAATGACCATCTGTTTTCAGACTGCTCTTCCTCCTACTTAACATGTCAGATTTCACTGTTATTTAGTGAGTTACAGGACACATTAACCTTACGGTATCAAAATATAGATCCAGTATGTTCTCATTAATATTTATAGTTCTGGAAACAGAAAACTGCAAACATTAATACGAAAAAAAAAGCAAAAATATAGTGTCCTGTATGGAAAAAAAGTGCCTTCAGATACAATTTTAATGGCGGATTCATGTGGAATGACAGACTAAATGTACTTAATGTGATAAGTCACTATCATGGATTAAACAGAGTGACTGATGAATTTGTGTATGAAACAAAAATAGTAATCCACAGCTAATCATAGTCTCAATTATAAAGAAAAGCCTGGGGTTTTTAAATGGTTAAGTTTACATGGAAAAGATTAGAGATTCTTATGCTCAAAATGATGCAATTACTTCAGTCATTTATTCATTCAATAGCAGAGATTCCTTTAAAGAGTGCTATGGACAAGAAAAATCAACTCAGTGGCTTCATAGTTCTCAGTTGCTCAGTTTAAAGGAATTATCATTAAAGGAACTATGTAAAAAACAAGTTATGGTTACAGAGAGAAAAAGTTGTTTAACTATTAATTTCACAATCTTGATATATTTGGGCCTCTTTCCAAGTTCACCCACATACCAAGAACGGAAAAGGTGGGTGATTAGATTCCAGGCACTTTCTGCAGAAAATCTACATTTCATTAACAGTATATTTTCAAGTCCAATAACAGAAGATGCACAGGGAGGCAGCTATGACAAATACATTAGGAATATTACAGTTAAGTGTAACATTTCGAATCACAAAAGCCACAATTTATTGTAGTTTCAACCATTGTTGGAGGTCTCTCACACTTCATGGTGTGATCCTAAACCATTATAGTTTTGTATCACTGTAAAGAATATACACACAAGTATCTTTAAAAGGAGGTAAGGTTTTAAGTACTTACTACAGAGTATTTAGCTTCAACAAAGGAAGCTGTTCTCTTTCCAAAATTAGATATACACCCATGTGAAATAAAGTGTTTTCCTTTCAAGTTAGCTTTTCATAAGAACAGCAAAATAAGCTCATTGCACACTTACTTCAAATGGAAAAGAAAACAAATATGTATATATGTTTTATGTAATTTTTGTATGATTAATTCAAAATTTACCTTTCCAGGCATATTCAAAAACACATACTGGATTTAAGTACAGCACAAACTGATCATTTTAATGAGAACATTCCATGTAGGTGTGCAGATCAGTGTGTCAAATAAAAGCAATGTTAAAAATGTTTTAAAATAGAATTCTAGGCAATTGAGATATAAAGGGAAATTCATTAAGTGTTACATTAAAATAGAATTCAGCTGTTTCTTGCAGTTATTCAATGCATATTTCTCCTGCTAAAACAAAATAGACATGCAGAAAAATAGATTTCTTCAATTTTAGCTAAGAGTTTGCTACTAAATATTGTAAACTTAAAAAATTCTTTATTTAAGATGTGTAGGATTCCTCTTCTCCCTACCTCCCCAGTGAAATGCAGGTTTGTGTTGGATCATTTTTAATGTGTTTTTTGCAAGTACGTTAACTTCAATCCTTCACATAGTAAGAGAATTTTGTTGAGATTATGATTATGGAAGATAGCATACTTTGCTAAACCATTTTTATCTGACGGAGAATATACAATTTGTCTTAGCCAACCAGAACTTAAATATTCTATGAATAATACAAATAGTAGCAAATAATATAGAAATTCCTCTGGAAGAGGTTATTCTTGAACTACGTGTGTAATTATTGTCTCTGTGTTCCTGATCTAGCCATCATCTAGGGTGAAGAAATTCAACAGCTTGCATCTCTGTTCTTTTCACGGTTATTGTTCCTTTCCTTTTATTTCTTTTTTCAATAAAAGGATTGATTCTGCTTTCAGACATGCAAATGGTTTTCACTGACTTTAATGGGAGTTTCATGACAGTATATAAGGGCAGAATTAATCAGTGTGTGCATTTTGAAGACTAGATCAGACAACTAGCCTTTCAATTAAGAGAGATGCATTTATTTTAATGAAGGAGTCTTCATCATATCCTTACAATCTTTGAGGAAGGAAGTGAGGGAAAGGTGATAAAAGTCAAGAACAGAACAACATAAGGAGCTATCAGTAATTTACAAAGATCCACAGTCACTCATATGGGCTTGTAAGGGGACAAAACTAACTAATCTAGGATAATCTCAAATAAATAGGTCTACAAACTGAGTCAATATTTTGTTGTTCTTACTGAATGTGCCTATTTACAGTAAAAATTAAAATCAGAAGTTAATTGTTAAGGCAGATTTCAATCAAATGCATTCCAGAATTGCACAGTAATATTGGCCAATAATCCAAATGTTTCTGCCTAGGCCAAAGAGTTAAACTTGCTGTGGATAAATTTTTGTTTGTAATGCTAACACATTTGTCTAATGCCAATTTGATCCAGTATTCAACTGTTTTATTCTTTAAGTTTTTATCGAATACACAATTAAACATTACATATACTGTACTGTATATTTCACACTCCAGGTCTAAGATGATTTCATGTTTTTACAAAAGATGAGATGACTAAGTACATTTTACAGGCTTTGTGCAGTTAGACCACCATATGCATAGATGTCCTAATGCTAAAATTCTTCTCTTCAGTATCTCATAGTACTGGATGCTCTAAAGTAGGAGAGGAACTTGTAACACAGACTAACCACGAAGTACCAGATGTTTCTCGCCATTTGTGATCTTGCAATAAAGATACGCCAGATCAGGATCACAAGGACTGTATTGAAGCCATAACGTATGTTCCTTAACCTGGGAAAGAATTAAAGAAATATAAAAACCGTAAGTGTTGAGAAAACACTGAGCTGTGCACATGAAAGATGCTATAGAAGTGCAACCTCTAATTTATTATGGAATTTAAGGCATTCCACGCTTCTCACACCCCAAGTTGCACTGTGGGCCAAATTAACTGAACGAAGGGGCAGCAGCTCATCTGCAGTCATCTCAGAGGGCTGGGACCAGACTTAATTATTGAGAAAGGGGCTTGGCAGGAATGGAGAGGAAAGCCACATAACTGGGTTAGTAACTGTACTACAGAATAAATGGAAATATAATATGCCAACAGTAAAGGGTATTTATCAAGCAAATTCAAGGCCAACACATGGTCGTTTTCCCATGTATTTTTTAGAAAGGACACTAATCCTTAGTTTCCAGAGCATGCACCATTCATTTCTTTAACAGGTTTAGCATACACAGTACTGACTGACTGTGGCTGACAAAAAAAAAAAAATTGTAGGTTTTTCAGCTATGGGGACCCTAGAACTCACCTACAACTTTAGACTTACTCCTTTCGAAGACAGAATCTCAGACCATTTTAAACGCTTAAAAATTTAATTTTCTTTGTAATACATCTCTGAAGGTAGGTAGTCTTCAGAGGTGTGAATCCAAGATGGTGGCCCTAAACCATGTAACAGGACTTTGTAGCTTCTCTAATCTGCTGTCATTCGGTTTTTGCTCTTTTTTTATTTAAAATAAGCACAATTAGTATGAGTATTGCAGACATAGCTCAAAAAACAAAATGCAGTCAAATAGACACAATAGAACTACTTCACGCTCTAGATCGGCTGAATCATTTGCCTGTTTGCAGCCTCTTTAAAAAAAAAATAGTTATAACACTATTTGTATCATGTAAAAAGTGTTCTCTTGCTCCCTGACTGGAGAGAGATCTGTTCTTAAGGTAGACCGATGTAATTAAATTGATTCTCCTCTTTACAAAGCTGGATAAACTGCTTGGTGAATTTTAAAACTACTCTGTTGGCCAAACAGATCCTTCTTCACACCAAACAAAAACAAAAAAAGACATTGTGACTCTTACAACTTTTAAGCACTGTAAAAGTTGCACTGAAATCTACATATCAAGAAAACTAAGTTTATGAATTTCCAGAGCACATATCACTGTAACATCTGGACAAAAATATTTAAATGTTCTCATAATCAGCTGTGTAGGATTTACATATAAAGGTAGTGGGGATTACAATACAACTTTACACATGGAGATACTATGGGACCTCTATAGTAACACAGAAGAAAAGTTACTGACAAAGGAAGCCATTCAGTTTGTGATAAACAAGTGTTGCTCAGTATCTGAATGTGAGTTGCTGAAGATGGTCAAAGCTGCCTTAATGCAAGTGATTTAGTGGCTTTTTGTTTATTTTCACGTAGTGTCCAATTCATCTAAGCGCCATAACTGTAGCTACTATATTACTGTGCTTCCAGACACTAGGTGACACCAAGTTCTCGTCTCACTCTTCCTTAGTAACTGGCGGCAGAACTGCTCAATAGACAAAGCTCTGGTGATCTTTAACTGGCTCTTCTGCTGTGCAGCTCAGTCTTTTCTTTACCTTACTAGAGACAAGATATAGTAGCACAATGCTCCTCCCATCCTCTGCCAGAATGGCCAGAAAGGGTAAAAATGGTTTTACTGATTACAACCTGTGTAGAACTGGTATGTTCTGCATGCAGATTGGTCAGACCACTCAGAAATAAAGTAGGCCAACCTCTTTCATTCACTAAGTCCTAACAATTTCACATATTGAAAGGGGTAGAATTCATTGACTACCGAATTTGGATAGTAACCCAGTTGGCACTGTGAAAGCAGATGGAAGGAAGGATCCCAGCCAAAGCTCAGGTACCCAGGAAACAGAAATGAAATTGCTTTGCATGCCATTTTTTCCAAAGCTGGTATTTGCCCACCTACTGCAGTGCAGTTACTGTTTCATGTCATAGCCAAATGTGTCTCTCTCCATGACACGAAATCCAGGTCATTCTCTTACTCCCACACTGCCAAAGCCTATCCATTCTCCATCCAGGGAAACAGTTCTATGCAGTAGTAGTTTATCTGAAGGGCCAATCCTCTGCTAAGCTCCCACATCGGTCCTAGATTCAAGAAGTAGATTCCTTCAAACTCTAGGCAGCTGTATATGCCTAACCAGGCTCCCAGTCCGAACTGAACACCAGACCTGAGAAAAAGGACACTCCAGAGCCCAAACCTCTTTCAGCTCAGAAAGAAAGTTTAATATAGAAAAGTCTACCTCTGACTGAAGCATTCCTAATACTAAACTGGACAGAACAGTTCTCATGGCATTGCCCATTGTATGGAGGCGTGGGGGGGCGATGTCAGGGGGGGTGAGGTGGGAGAACAGAGGAGCTAAAACAGAAGGACTCAGCAGACAGCAGAACCAGTTCAGAGAGTGGCTCCTCTACTCCGAAGTGAGGGAATACAAGACAGACCCTTTCATTTCCACACAGAACCAGTCTTCCAAAGCATTACAACGAACTCTGATAAGAATGGATTGATCACTTTGTCAGTCAGAGGGGGAATAGATTACTCCATTAGAATTATATTAATAAAGCATGATTAAGCCATAGGACAAGAAGGGACAGCAGTAGACAAGGAAAGAAAAAACAATATGCAGAAAGGGTAATATATGAAGAAAGAACTGAAATGCAAACCTACTTCTTCAAGTGTTTCCTAGCTGCAGGGAGACCAGACATTTCCTCATTCAATACATATTTCTTAGTTCCCATACAGTAGTTCTCCATGTATTCTGCCCAGTGTAACTGTCGAACATCAAAATTAAACACCTACATAAAAAGAGAACCTAATGGTTAAAACTTAAGAGAAAAAATCATTAACTTTACACTTCAGTCTCATAACACAAGAACAAAAACTGACATGTCACGGTCAGATATCTCTATCACAAAATGACTGCAAGGAAATAATTGTGTCCTGTGCTTTCCCAAAAAAACCCAAAGTCCAAAGATCTAGATTTTATTTTCTGGCTCTACCACAGGCTTAATGTGTGACCTTCAGCAAGACCGCTAATGACTCAGTGACTCATTTTTCCCATCTGGAAAATTTCTTAGAAGTGTGTTGCTTTGCTAGTTTGCTTGGTGTTATGGGGTTTGTGGGTATGTCTATATTGCAATTAAAAACCCATGGCTGGCCCATGCCAGCTGACTTGGGCTCACGGGGCTCAAGCTAACAGGTTGTTTAACTGTGATGCAGGCGTTCAGGCTGCAGCCTGGGCTCTAGGACCCTGCACATCTACACCACTGTGAGCCCGAGTGTAGACAAACTGTCTAAGGAGGCCTAGGCATTTATACTATTGATTTCCATTGTGATGTGTTCAAATTGATGGCATTTACGTTATTCTTTAGTATTATTTAACGCCACAATAGATTGAATGGTCTAAGATTTTGTTATTTTAGTCCTTCAGCCATTTTCTATGTCACCTATGCAGTTCTTTTAAAACACTTGACTTGTAGAACTTTACATTCTGTATGTATTCTATGTGGTTACCACCTAGGAGTTTCTTCATCACTCTGGTAGCTTTAGGAACTTAATTTTTCAGTGTGGATTTCTGGATTCCGTAATATCAAAATAGTCTGTGATGGCAGTCATGGCAAGTCTCATAAAACACTACAATTTTCCAGAGGTTTTAACCTTACAAATGCTACAGATTTCCGATAACAGAACTAGAGAGATCATCACAAGGGCAAAAGTCAAGTAAACAGTTCTGTAAGCTGGAAAAATGTCCTTGGTAATTTATCCAGATTCATAAAGTTGATATTACATATGTTAACTCCTTAGCATCCATGCTGCCAATTCACAAAATAAGCAGCTTCACAGTTCACTTGGATCACTGGAAAATATCAGGAAAAATAAACCCCCTAGAACTGAGGAGACAGTCTCCTCTCTCCTCCTCCCAACAATTTATCTTAACTCAATATTAAAAATATTGAGAAGATGAACATACATTTTAAGACATGCCTATAAAATGCAAATGTACTGTCAAACAATCTAGAAATAAAACTTTCTAGTGCCAATATGAATTATGTTTGAAAGCTCTCAAAATTAAAAGTTATGATTTAAAATGTTTAAGATGACATATTTTCATTTCACATCAAGAAAGAAAGTCCATTATTTAACTTTCAATTTGTTCAAAAATTACTTTGGGCACATTCTTCAATTTTAGGAAACTTCTCTATAGGCAAAGGCTATTTGGTGGCTTTGCAACAATCCAAAGTATATTCCTATTCCCCTTGAAGGTCAGAACAAGAGACTAGCAGTCCAGAATTGCTTAGTTAAGGAAGATGATCTGGGATTAAGTTTGAACACACAGATACCAATTGACTGTTCTGTTTATACTTTTTGATCAAAGTGCAGTGTGTCCACTCTCCCATTAAAATCTGCACAGCCTTCAAACTTAAAATCAAACCACCACCACATCTCTAGTTTAATGGAAGAGAAGTAGCTGCACTAGGTTTTGCTAGTTATTTCAGACATTTTACCCTGAGTTTTGGAATGATTTTAACTTTTAATAGGTTTTGGGAACATGATTCTTTATCATTTGCTTTGTCTAGGTTACTTTCATTTAGTGTCACTCAATAATATTCACAGGATATTTTATATAACATCAATGTTAATCAATGTAATACTGTTTTTATTTTACATTGCTTTACCAATTGCATGTTTATCTTGCTCTTTACTAATTGTTTTAATTAACTTTCAGGTTTTCCACCTCACCATTCATTTATGATTGCATACACATGCTCTAGTCCACCTTCATCCAGAATGAGCATGCATGCACACACATCCGATCAAAGGAGGAGGAAGGAATAGAAGAACAGAGAGCTCAATTTTTAGTTGAAAAAAAATGGGGAAGGAAATCAGTTCAAAGCCTCCAAACCAAAATAAAACATTTTTGACCAATGAAAGTGCTTCCATCTAGGGGTGGGTGGGTGTGGGTGTGGATGTGTATATATGTGGATATGAACCTATAAGATTCTGAGGAACAGTATCTTCTGAGGACTTTCAATGGGCTTGTTCAAAAGGGATGGTCTTCTAGTGAAAAACTGTATTAGCATCCACAATGCTGGCCACAACTGACCAGGACAAACAGATTTTAAGCATCATGTCTGCTAACTCAGCTCTTCGTAATACCATTTAAACATGATGAAATCATCTAGTAAAGACCAGTCCAAGGGGAGTTGTAGGTGCTCAGCACCAACCAGTATAAAATAATGCTACTTCTGTTCATGATAAATGAGGCTTAGTTACCATTTAATAAAAAAGTGTTTGGAGTTCCTCAGATAATTTGCATTCTTTATAGTGAGTTTATTATAATTACGTTTTCCCCCTCTCCGTCTTAGATGCGCTTTTTCAGAGTGCATCTTACCAAGTTTACAAAGTGCTAGATTACGTACTTAAGATACATGTACTCCACAAATGTATCCTTGCTGTAGAAGACATTCAACAGGTAAAAGAACCATATATTCCTGCTTTAGCAACATCTTTCACACTATCTGAAGACCAGTTGGTAACTCAGGAAGAAGACAAGAAATTTTGCATAATTCCCCCCCCCCCCAATCAGTGCTGAAGACTGGGTTAGGTTATGCCAAAACTTTACTTAGAGAAAGAACCAGTTGCCATGTTTGGCTTCTTCTGCTGCAGTCTGAGTGTATGTAATCACATTAGTGAGAACAAAAAGGCCCAGACACATACTAAACAAAGACAACTGTGTCAGAAGAGACACAGAGCAATTAAAGTTATTTAATTTTAACTGCACTTTCTGAATTTTGGTCCAAGAGCCTTATTACTGCTATATAAAGCAGTCCTTGAAAGAGATCAACCCAGGGCTGATAAAAAACCTGGAGCTTGTTCTCTTTGTTCCTGGACTTATGTACTTTGTACGAAATGAGTAAACAAGCATATATCTGTGGTCTCAAAGATTGCTGAGATGCTTCTCAAACATTTTCTTGTTTTGGAAAAAGACTGGGATTGTAATAGAAGAGTGACTCCTGATCTTTTTCCAGGCCCTGTCCCTAGAAGCAAGACTGTTTTAAATATTATTGTTGCTAGAAGATTTCAGCATGGTTTCCCCTAAATAATGTGGATGTGGATTTATTTTTTGTCTGAAAACTATATTAAAGCTCAGCTAAGGCATTCACCCACATCACTTATTTTAATCTATGTTAGAAAATAGTTCTTAGACTCAAATTTAGGTTTTTTATTTGTTTGGACTAGACTGAACAAGAAAGTATTGAGCCAAGTCATTTATTCAGGCCCTGGCAAAGGTCTGCAATCACTGTGACACATCATTGACAAACCTCTAGAAAGTGGCTCCTTCATTAAATTAATCCAAAAGGCATAACTTTACACTCCTATAGGCCAGATTCCTCTATAAAAGCAAATTTTTCTTGGGCATCAGCATACAAGGGAATTTGCCAATTGAGAGAAGTCCAGAGTGCTTATGAATTTTGCACTCCCCAATAGGTCCAACGGGTCCTCTAGTCAGGTTGTATATGTCAGGTTGGGTAATAGCATTTAACCTCCTAAAGTCCACACACAACCTCAAGGTTTTTATCCTTTTTAAGTACCATCACAATAGGAGATGATTCCAAGGGGCTTTTTGATTTAGTAATCACCCCCATATCCAGCATGCTTTCCACTTCCTCCTGAATTTCCTTCTGCATGTCTCTGTTAGCATGATATGCTTTGCTAGGAGAAGGGCATAGCCCTGATTTTCAATGGAATGGACAATCTTGTCAGTTAAACCTGGCTGGTTGGAAAATATCTGTCTGTGGTGCTTCAAAAGGGCTAATCTCCTGCTTCTGGATTGGGATCAAACTCTCCACATCTCAGTGCTCTCCAAAAGAATCTCTTCCTTAGTCTCCCTGACCAAATCAATTGAAGGGGCAGTAAATGTTCCCTCATCAGCACAACAAATCATATTCACTAGCATTCTCCCTTTCATGGTAAGCTTTCAATCTACTGACATGTATAGTTTGTACAGCTCCCCTTCCATAGCACTTCCTTACATCATAAATGACCTTATTCACTCGATCATCTGAAAAGGTCCTTCCCAAAAATCCTGCATTTTGTTTTTCTTCACTGGAATCAACTCTAACACCAAATATCCTCAGTCAAAAGCTCTTTCTTCAGCATGCCTGTCATACCAAGAGGTCTCAAAAGGCTGACCCCTTTTTCAAGGTTCTGCTGCACAAAATCCATCATAGTCTTTAAATTCTCCTTAAAAAGAGTGACTACTCCCCTACAGGCTGGCCTATCTCCTCTGTACTGCCCTCCCAAGAGCTTTGAATAAAATCTAGGGGTATCCCCGCATCTCCCATAAAGTAGATTAAAGGGGGCTTCTCGTGGAGGTGTAGTACACAAATCGATGGGAGAGCGCTCTCCCATCGATTTAGCATGTCTTCACCAGACTCACTAACTTGACACTCGCTGCAACAATTGCAGCAGTGCTGATCTAACAGTAAGTGTAGACATGCCCTAAGTGTCCTGCAAATGGGCAATCATAGGTTAACTGCAGCAACTCTCCTCTGTATTTCTCAGGTACTATCACCTGTTCGCAAACCTCAACATAAAGCCTCTTCTTCCCTATGGGAGCCACTCTATATAACAAACCTTCTAGATACAAATCCACCCTTTCCTTCCCCAGCTCGGGTATTATTCTGAGCTGCAACACTCTCTTGATCCAGAGAAGGATCAGCTTGTTGTGCCTGCATAAACTCCTTCTGAATCTCATTTAAGTTCAGAGCTGATTCTGGCAAAGCGGTGGAATTTTCCCAATTTCTCCTCTGAAGACAAACTGGTACTCTCAGCAAAGGACTGAGGGTATTCCCCCAGCCTGCCCTGCTGCCCTCCCTCCTGTCCACAGACAAAGCAGATGAATTAGAGGCACACTCTTTCTGGCTGCAGGCTAGAACATTAACCTGCTTAGACGTGGCTAAAATGCATCACTTATTAAAATACAGTTAGGAAGCAAATTCCTGATGCCTACAATGACCTCACCTTTAAAATCCTCCTGTTCAAGGTAGATCTTAGCCAGAGACACGGGTACAGAGAACTCAGCCAAAACCAATATATTTAAACTCTCATCAGGGAGTTTATCTTCCTCCCTTACCAAAAACTTTCCTTAACCAAAGAACTTGGGACGCTGTGTCCCTCCAGCCCTTACAATCTATGCCATTTACTTTAGCATCCTTAATAAACCCTTCATTAGCTTCCCAAGATTCAGACCTAATATAGTTCACTGGGCCATTCACCTCCTCTATTGCTGCCATGGGGCAATGATAGTGGCACTCACAGTGAGGGTTGTGGGTGTGGATTGTAGGGTGCATACTATACAGTTTCTCAAAATGTGGCCAGGTACTGCAACTGGGCCTGTTCCCCTGCAGCGTCTGAGGAAGCAGGGCCCTTGGACCCCTGGTCAAAGCTTATGAGCAAAGCTCTCAATTCCTAATCTGAGGCTTTTAATGGGCTATTCCCCTATTTTTACATAACTTTCCAAAGCCTTTTGTGTCAAGACCATGATATGACTGTGATTTACTAATTATGACTAATCTTTAAGCCTTAAACTCTCAAAAGTTTAAATTTAAACTTTTAACAGCACTGGCGTTATGATCTAGAAGCCCAATTGACACCAATTGTCACACCATCTGGAGTGACTCATGACTATGCGTGCCAACCTCAGGGTGAGTGTTAAAAAGCAGGGCAGACACCCCAAACTGGTGGCATGTTCTATAATTAGAATTCACCAACCCAGTAACAAATGTGACCTCCTAAAGCACTATAACAGTCTTATCAGGGTGTCACAGACAGTCCCCTTGGGCATTCCAGTCTATCTTGCCACCCAGACATGCTGGACTTAGTGACAGTTGGTTGCAATACACCACAGATCACAAAAGATTCAGGTGTCTCCCAGTCCCAACAGACCAGTCATTTACTCCAGGTCAATTTGTATCTCAGACCCCACACCAAAGACAATGCTTGTAGCCAATCCTATAGTAAACTAACTATGGATTTGTTAACTAGGAAAAAGAAATGAGCGTGATATTTACAGGTTAAAGCAAACAAACATACAGAAATGAGTTACAGTCTATGATTCCAAATGCTGAAAGTTGTAGCAATCGGTCAGCACTGAATGTCTTTTAGGGCTAACCAATGCCAAGCAGCATGGGGATCTCTTGCTTATGTTTAGGAATCTTTGCCCCCTGTGGCGGCTCTATGTTTTTTGCCGCCCCAAACACGGCAGGCAGGTGGCTTTTGGTGGCGCACCTGCGGGCAGTCCGCTGGTCACGCGGATTCGGCGGCATGCCTGCGGGAGGTCCGCTGGTGCCATGCCATCGGCATCCCTGCCGCCGAATTGCCACTGAAACCGCGGGACCGGCAGACCTCCCGCAGGGATGCTGCTAAAAGCCACCTGCCTACCGCCCTCACAGTGACCGGCAGGCCGCCCCCCCGCAGTCCATCCTGTCTACAGGACAAGCACTTTACCTTAATCAATGCTTCTTCTATGGTTTGGTGAGCCACACAATTACAGAGGTTTACAATGCAAACACTCAATATAAGTTTATACCATGGGCTACAGAGATAAGTGAGATCAATACATGCAGCATCCTACAAGCATTTCATAAAGTCTAAACAAACACAAAACACATGGGTACTGGATTTATAACAATCTTAACCATGCTAACACATAGGGGAACTAGATTATTTTTCCATCAGGAATTTGTCAGTGTTTAGCTGAGGCCTCAAGTCCTGGCAAGAGCTGGTATCTGGTCTGCCAGCATCACAATAACCACGCATGGTCCTACTTCTCACAGACCACAGTATGGAGCCATTTTTTTACTATCAAAATGGGGGGAAGCTATTTTCATAAATTATTTCAGCAAGCATAGCTCTTTCCCCTCATCTGAAAAGGCATCGTTATTTAAAAAAATTATCAAGTTATGCTGATGCTTAATATTTTAAAAACTGCTTTATCCATATTACACCTTACCACACTGGGGCAAAAAATTTATGATAGGTGTGTGTGTTTTCAAAGACCATTTCACCTACCTTATGCATGGTGTACACAAAAATCATAGACAGTTATAGTTAAACTACCAGTTTTTTGTTTTGTTTTTTGTTTTTGTTTTTTAAATAGGTGGCCCAACTGGATCACAAAGAAGCATTACTTATTTTAATTAAACTTCCATTACCCAGTCTTAAGTAAATAGATTCACTTCTTTTAAATCCTTAAATGACTGATAAGAGGTGTATTACGCAAAGATTACTTGCCTTTTTGTCTTCAGGGCTTAGTTGGTTCATTAGCATATTGACATTCTCAGTATTCCAAATCCAAGAATTGCTTGTAAAGTATTCTATTAACATCATGGCCTTGTGAAGACGGGTTATTGTTTTCATCATCCTATTGTCCAAGGAAAGGGATTTACAGATTACAATAGCAAAAAACATATCCAAAACCAACATACCCATACCGTCCAAACCACCAATCTCAATTTCCCTATAACACAGTGCATTAATACCAACACAGAAACTCCCAAATCACCCAGCACACCAAGCATGACTACCTGTAATGGATAAATAGACTATTCCTGCATATTTTATATTTTTATTTTTAAATGTACTGGAGATCCAATCTTTGCCAGCTGTTGCAATCTGAAATTTTGATTCAGCAACCTAGAATGGTGTTCTAATGGCTCTACCTTTCAGAGTATTTAGAAAAGAAATATAACAAAAGAAGACAGATATTAGAAGAGCATCTTCCTACTAGCTTTTCTTGCAATTCTAAAACACTAACAGGTTGAAAAGACTTATTATTCATAATACAAATATCTATTCTTATGCATAATAATTTAACTTGATGAAAAGTATTTACAGGCAAATTCTATGGTGTGGCTGATAGGAGGCAGGGGAAGAGGAGGAAAAGGAGGAACGTGTATGCAAAGAAGGTATAAAAGATCATATTTGCACTCCCCTAAGCCTAGTGGCAGCTCGAGTTCAGGGGAACTGGCCAAGCTAGAGCAGCCCTATTATGGCTAGAAACAGCCTCAAGTAGCAGAGGATTGACATAGCAAATGCATGACCTGGCCCTGCTGCCAGTCCTTGCCTCTACTTTGCTGGCCACAGAGTGGGGAGTGGTTCAAGGGTCTCTATGCCATGGAGGGTCCCCCTTGCAGAGAGACAATCCATTCCTAGCTGGCAATGCCTACAGAGCAGTGCAAAGCAGCCACTCCAGAAGATCGAGCCCCAAATATGCAGAAATATTCTATCATCCTTTATTGCCCAACTTAAGCCACTTTGTAAAATATCAGAGGGGTAGCCGTGTTAGTGTGGATCTGTAAAAAGCAAACACAGTCTCCTGTGGCACCTTTAAAACTAACAGATGTATTGGAGCATAAGCTTTTGTGGGTGAATACCCACTTCATCAGATGCATGCGTATTCACCCACGAAAGGTTATGCTCCAATACATCTGTTAGTCTTAAAGGTGCCACAGGACACACTGTTGCTTTTTGTAAAATATAACATTTGGAGTACAGTGGGATTCAATTATAAGAATCAATCTGGGCAAATTCCTTGTTGACCAGAAAAGCTGAACATGGATCCATGAAACAATGAGTTTTGCCCAGAATGGAAGTGTGCGTAACAAGCAGGTTCTCTGTCTTGCCAGGACAGCGAATTCTGCTTGGTATTGTAATGCCAAGGCTAGTCAGTCAAGTTATATATGGCTCCAAATGGCACTTATACAACCCAACATCCTTTACCTTACTGGCTCACAAAAGGATCCATTTCTTTCCTGCTTTTGCAGACTCCCAATAAATCATTTCCAGTCCGATCCTTATAACTAAATACACTGATCAGTGTAAACAAGGGGATAGAGCAGAACAAGAAACAAAACCCACCATCAATATGAAACTGCTTTTGGACCATAACATTTGCTTCAGATAGTTGAATGACCATTCACAGTGAGCAACAAAGATCACTTACAGGTAACTGTTCTTTGAGAGTTGCCTCTGAGCATTCACACTTATAGGTGGGATATGGCGCTCCTTGATGTTGAGTCAGGGAACCTCAACCAAAGAAGAGTCCATTGAACTATATGAATGCACCCCTTAGTGAGGTCAATGGCCAACATCAATGTATAAAGGAATTCAGCCATTACCCTCTCCTCCCCCATGCCCTCAGCTTTTTCTCCTGGACCATGGAGCCCCAAAATCTGAAGAGAATTCTGAGATAGAAGAGAATGTGGGCAGGAAGCATGAATGCACAAAAGAGATTCAAACAATAGTTACTAGTAAGTAACTTTCCTCAAGGACTTCTGTGCATTCCCACTTGTGGGAGAATCATGAACTTCCTTATCCACAGGAGCTGAGTAAGAGATCTTGTGCTCCGATTTTTTTTCATGCCCTCAGAATGAGGTGCTAGGAGAAAAAGGAAAAATCCTCTATTGGAACTGGATACATCTGTTGTCCCTGCAGGAGACTACTGGCAATGAGAAGGGTGTGAGCAAGCTATATACCTGAATTGAGTAGGCACTTTCAGATAGGGAGAAAAAGTCCACCCTTCAGTTTTGGTTGAAAGATCAAACTTGCAATCCTGCTGCAGTGTGTGCCCCATCCTGTTCAGTGGCTTGTGGAACTGGTGGGGAAACCACTGAAGGTTAAGTGTTTTCATCTGCTGATGTCCCATTAATAGGGAGGTCATTGTCATCATCCTGTCTGAAGCTGAAGCTGCAATTCCAGTATAATGAAGCAGGTACTGGAACGGGTGGATTTATCAGCAAGGCTGGAGTTCAAGGTGAGGCTACTGGTTGCATAGGTGCCACTGCCAGTAGAAGTGAAAGTTGTGGTGGCAGAAGCAAAGTCACTGGGATTAGGTGCAGAGACCATGCTGATCCCATGTTTGTGCGGTGAGACAGTCTGACAAGCCATATCAAACTGAACTCTTAGGGCTCTCTAAGGCACCCCATAGGGAACCCTACCAACTGGAGGAACCCAGAGTTATTCAGATGAGGAGGTGTGGTGTGGAGATCCTGATAAAGTTCCTCTTCTGGCTCATTGTCAAAGGGAGTGGCCTCACCCAAACCAATCAAATAGTGCACGATGTCTGATTCTCAGTAAATGAATCAACAAGTAGAACTTGGCTTAATGCCTTAGGCTGCTCGGAGTATTCTAAGACTGCAAATGGGAAAGGGCTCTTCTTTCTTCAGACAAGAGATAAACTAAAATTAGACTAAGCTAAACTAAACAGGGAGTCAATATATGCTAAGCAGAGGTAGCAAGGTTCCTAATGCTCTTTGTTGCAGAAGAGAAGGAACTGAGGAAGATAAGGAATACCCTTCCTTATGTACAATAAGAGGTCAGTAGTTTACATCACTAGGAGACACTAGTGCAGCTCCAGTGGACAAGGCTTTGGTAGAGATTCTGTAATTCAACTTCAGGGGGCACCATCCCCCACCCACAAGTGGGAATTCAGAGGAGACTCAAAGAACATCAAGTTCCACTGTGACTACATTAACAACCTGAAGTGTTCTTTAAAATACATATTTTAGATTGTTGCAAATACAATTGTTAGACACATGTAAATAAACATAACATACACAAATGAGGCAATAGAATAATATGATCAGATAATACTGCATCACACTTTCTCCTAGCAACCATAAAATGGTCAGAAGTTTTCAATACATTTCTTTATCTTAAAGAACTAAATGCCAGCCATGGTTAATGAGGCACACTGAGAGAACGTGCCAATAATTTGTAGAGGTTAGCCAGTGCTACTCATCCCATACTTTCATGGGCACAAAATTAAGTAAAAGAAAAAACAGAAAATATATTAAATATGAACAAGGATTTTAAAACAGTTGACTAAGCAATTCAAATATGTAAAATATCATCAAAAGTACAAGTTTCATTCAGGGTTCCCTTGCTTTATTAAAGTTTTACACACACACACACAAAAAATAATCTAGAAAACATCTCCACGTTACAAATAGTTCTATGGAAAAATAAGAACTATTTTTCATTAAATAGTGCCTTCATTAAATCATAGCTCTGCTCTGATGTATAAGCCTTTGGATAATCTTTTATTGTTATTGCTCTCAACTCTTTGTGGGTGTTTGCATATGTATTCTACGTACAGAATGAGTTACTGAAAGAAATCTGCCATCTTAAATAGGGCATAATTTTTGCAGTTTCTTCATATGAGGCATGGAATGAAAGTGCAGGAGAGAATTTGTAATAAAACAAACATTTATATCCCCCAAACAAAATAAGGACAAAAGATCTCAAGCAATTTCTTAAAGTCCTTATCTGGCTGCTTTTCTGCTAAATTCACTACTTCTATATGTTCCATTAAGCAGACTACTGGTAGGTCCTTGGCCACAAAAAACGCTGTGTAGTTCATCAAACACCTGCAATGTTATGATCATGACTGGAGAACATACCTGTAAAGTTTTAGTGTGCTGTGGAACATAGTCATATAGAATGGCATATATTCATGCCTAAATACACAACAAAGAGCTGCATCAAAGGAACCCATAGAAACCTCATAGAAAGGAAAGGCAGATATATGTGGTGCTGGAATGTGCCATGTATCTGTCTCTTATTTTCCTTCATGGGTGCTCAGTATCTGAGTAGTAGGGAATGGTGCAGCTGGGCAATATGCTATGTTCTATGCTATGTAAGGAACTGAGATTACATACAAGCTAAATATGCTATACTTCACTGGAACTCCAATATAAGCTGTGGATGCAAGAAGCGGCAATAATTCCCTCTTACTGGCTTTTATACGATACAGAAGGTGTATGCATGCACAGATGGGATGGATGTCAAAAGGGAGACAGCTAAGACATCACTTCAGGTCAAAAACATGGGGATGGGGATTCAATATTCTGGTCACACTAAGGCTTGAGCACCACAAACACCTTTTAAAAACCAAAAACAAACACACACACACACAAAAACCAAAGGAGACAAGTACCAGGGACATGTGATAACAGTTTTAAATGCAAAGCAGTAAGGCCAGGCCAGACCAGGCCAACTACAATGGTGAAGTTGGAATACATCGTACAACCTTCCAGATCATAGACACTGTGCTCTCTCCTCTAAACCAGTTGGCATACAATAATGATTTCACCAGGACTCTTGTAACATTAGCTGTAATGATAATTGTTGTGCCATTTGACAGCATGTTCTAAGGTTCAGTTAGGAAGATAACACCAAGAGAACAGACCTGGAGGTGACTGAGGACAGACCTGAATAATCATAGCATTAGTTTCTTTGAAATTGTTTTTTTTAAAGCGTCCAGTAAGCTTTTAAATTTCTCGTTAAATTATGTCAATTTTTTGGCTAAAAATTCCAGTACAAGTGTACAACATTTATGCATCAGTTGAAATCCTACATATCTTTCCAACAACTCTGCAGTCTTCACAGATGCATCAGGCTTGGAAGGGAAAGTTTTCATGCCCAATAGAAAAATACACCTCCATTTTCTGAGTAAATGTACCCTTCATTCACTCATGGTTTATAATACATCAACAACGTGCAGGGTGTTTTACAGGCAAGTTAAAATAATCCCTACTCTAGATAACCTGGATTTGAAATAAGATCACATAAAATGATATTTTTACCCCTGGCTACACAACTTATCACTTCATTTTTTATTACAACTACTTCAAACAACAGCTTTTGGATAGATCTCTAAATTCATGACTGCCGTATCTTCCATCTTTCTACAAGGATACTGAGAAGTTTAATGAGTTAGTGTTTGTAAGTGCTTTGAAATAGTCAGATAAAAGGTGCTGAATTATTATTTGTAAGGCAGTAATGCCTAGAGGACAGGGCATTATTGTGCACTGTACAAACATACAAGTAAGGTAAGTGCAAAGCATTGTTAGTTTTTTGGGTTTTTTTTTGTTTTGTTTTGTTTTTAAATACAAGTGGTCAGATTTCTTCACGCATAGCACATTCTGAGCTAAGGATGTGCTGCCAGTAGCACTGCCAAGGATTATTATTATACCATTTATCAAAAAGCAGAGCATTTGTATAATTATAAAAATCAGATCAGTCTCACATCAATTCCTATAAGAAAAGAAGAATTTAAGAACAGCCATATTGGGTCAGTTCATCAAGCCCAGTATCCTGTTTTCCAACAGTGGCCAGTGCCAGGTGCCCCAGAGAGAATGAACAGAACAGGTAATCAAGTGATCCATCCCCTGTTGCCCATTCCCAGCTTCAGACAAAGAGGCTAGGGACACCATCCTTGTCCATCCTGGCTAATAGCCATTGATGGACCCATCCTCCATGAACTTACCTAGTTCATTTTTGAACCCTGTCATAATCTTGGCCTTCACAACATCTTCTGGCAAGGAGTTCCACAGATTCACTCTGCATTGTGTGGAAAAAATACTTCCTTTTGTTTGTTTTAAACCTGCTGCCTATTAATTTCATTTGGTGACCCCTAGTTCTTGTGTTATGAGGAGTAAAACAACACTTCCTTATGTACTTTCTCACACCAGTCATGATTTTATAGACCTATAGATACAAGGCCTACAGTAATACGGTTTGCACAAAATTTGGGGCAAGTGTTAAACCTCTCCACCATCCCTACTCCTTCCTGAAGTTTTTGTATGACACTGTAACCTAGGTTAACCTAACAGTTTTAAATTGCTTTTAATTTTTCTAACGTTTCCTCCAGATGCAGAAATTCTGATAAACAAAAAAAAAAAAAAAAGACACCTCAAGAATAAAAATGTTTAAAGTGCTGGCATGATTAAATGAAGCATGTCAGAAAACATGATTTGATCATGTAAAGCACGACTAAGAAAATGGAAAGAAAATTCTGTGAACACAAAGCTCCTGCTGTTACTTTGATGACCAGTTTGTAGGGAATGTCATACAACTTGTCTGAACTGTAGAAGTAACCTCAAAAAAGTTGTTCTACTTCTCTTAAGATTTCCCTTTTCCTTTGGCAGTATCATACATCAATTACATGACAAAGCATTGCGGAATAAAAATTATAGTGGATTTCCCATGTATAGCATGTCATTATTTGCATATTAGATACCACAGTTGAACACACTTCTGAAAATCATTTTAAGTGTGTTAACACTCCAAGACACAGCATAGAAATATCATGCAAAAGACAATGACAAACAAAACACTATTGTGAAGGAGTTACAGGGAGAACAATATTGATGTCAGTTTGACTGTACAGATTTCAGCATGATTGGAAGACTCTGGGCTGCTCTAACTTGTGCCATCTAGTAATGAAAGCCAAAGGCTAGCCAGATGGAGTGGAAAGTTATTAAATGTATACATCATTAATTACTATAAGAAATTATTATTTGTCCTCCGATAGCACGAAGAGGCTAGAGCCCCACTGTGTTATGCCTTGTACAAACAAAAAAGAGATGGCTCTTGCTCCGAACATCTGACCATCTAAGAAATGTTATTGCATGTTGATATGTGCAAAAGAGAGTGTTCTCTTCATCTTTTGCCGATACCTTTTATTAAGGCAATTCCACGGTCAAGCAGGTCTGGCATATGTTAAATAAATCTTAAAATATTCCTACTGGCCCATTAAGAGTCATTTTTTAAAATGTACTGATGACAAATATTTGTTTTCCCCCATAATAAGATCTAGATTCTGGGACAGTGAATGATTGTCATTTATTATATACACTATTTCAACTCTCCACTATGATGGCAATGTAGTTGGAAAATAAATATTTCCAAAAACAGGCTTGCCATATAAATACAGCAGAGAAGTCTAGAGGATTGTACTGCTTTTGAAGTTTGGAACAATAGAAAGGAAGTAGTAATTAGATCTCACTCTGTGTAATATAGTTTTATTTATTATTTAGCTAAAAATTATACCATTTTCCCACTTCAAAAAAGTTAGCCCAATAAAGAAATTAAATATTATAAACTGAATGGAATGTTGAGACAATACAAGTAATTGTCCTGCATATAGGAAATGAAACTGCATCATCCACAACAAAATATAAAAATTGTGTGCCATGTTTGTGGAATTTCTCTCTCCGCATTCAGTTTATAATAGCAATAACAACCTCAGAGCAGGACATTTCTTAGGGCTTAGTGACTGTCTAGCGTTACCAGCCTGAGGCACAGCTCAAAGTCAACTCTTCCCAGACAGTCATTAATCCTCTCGGAATACCCAGCCTGTTGATTGTTATTGCTTATATTAGTAGATCTAAGGTAAAGCTCATGCGATTATTATCTCTACAAGCCTCCACCACCTTTTAGCACTGTCCTCCTTACCACGGTTTCTGACCTGTCAACCTGAGAACAACATCGTGCAATAATGCAGGTAGTATATGGCTGACCGCAGTCCAATACTGATGCAAAAGGGAGTTGGAATGGATATTAACATTGGGGCGCCTTAGTGCTTGTTCTAAAGGATTCATCTTGAAACTCATATTTAGGTAATACTCTGTAGGAAAAATAAGGATCAAAGTATTTTGAATATTTATTATTCCGAGAGAGCCTGTAGTTAGGTCTTGAATTCAAGTTATCCTGACATCACAATGATTATTCAGATCCCAGAACAAAATAAAATACACAGACAATGCATTCTCATTACTGGCAGGGAGTGAAAAAGTCTTGAATTCAAGGATCTCCTCTTATTTAGAGATGACAACCTTAATAAATAAGCAAAATCTGGAAAATAATTCAATATTAATATGCATTTTCATGTAAACATGGGTTTAAACATCAGAGGAACAGGTAAGACAGAGCTAGTCACCATTACCTTGGGCTTCTTCCTGTAATCCTGAGGTAGATATCATACAGGAATGCTGGGGCCTTATGGCTTACAGCAATCCAGTAATGATATAAAAGGTGATTGGAGGTTAGATTTACATTGGGCCGTCTGAAGGCCTGTTCGAGAGGATTCCTCTTGAAAGTGGAAATTACATGGTATTCTGAGGAAGAAAAGTTGTGTAATAGGTTTGATAGTAACCATGTAAAATTTAATGGTTTTCAAAGTACATTACAGTACAATACTTACTCTTATTAATGTTACTTCAAATATAAAAAACTTTCCTAACATTTCTGCCCCTCCCCTCCCCGTCAACTAAAACAAAATTATGCAACTGTTCAACTTGAATTGCTATTGGACTGTCACTCTTTGTCCCAAGAGGTACTCCATACACCCACAACTCTATTGTTTGTTTTTAATATTGTACTTCACTGTAGCTTCTCTCTTTCTGTTCCTCTTTCCTACTTAGGGGGGAAAAAAACACTATTCAATCTTCTGGTTGTAAATAATTTAAATAAAATAGCTTTGCATGCTATATATTTAGCAATAATCCTAATCCTAATCTGTTATAGTACAAATTATTTTAACTTTCCTTTTAATCATATCATAGGCATTTCTAAACATTTGATCTGCATTTTAAAAGACTTAACAAATGATTCACTTCTTAAACATTTAAAGAAAAAACTTGTATTAGGGTTTTATTCTGCATTTCTTGCACATCCAACATTCACTGAGGTCAACAGGAACTTCAGCTGTAAAGACATGCAGGATTGGGCCCTTAAGTAGTTACATGCACATTTACTTCAGATTTCTAAACATCTCCCATATTTTTCACATTGGTTTCTTGGAGAAAATGTGTTCTTACCACAAAGTAAGAGGAAGTTACTCACCCTGTGCAGTAACTGACGTTCTTCGAGATAAGTGTCCCTGTGGGTGCTCCACTCCAGGTGTTGGTCCATCCCTGCGCCTTTGCTTGGAGATTTTTGTAGCAGTACTCGTACTGGCCACGTATGCGCAGAGCCTGCCCCCCGCTCTGAGTCTAGCTTAATAGTACACATGCGCGGCCGATCTCCTCAATTCCTTCTCTACAACGGAGGCTACCCCAACTCCGAAGTAGAGGGGAGGAGAGGAGGGTGGGTAGTGAGCACCCACAGGGACACTCATCTCGAAGAAAGTCAGTTACTGCACAGGGTGAGTAACCCCCTCTTCTTCGAGAGAGATGTCCCTGTGGGTGCTCCACTCCAGGTGACTTAAAAGCAGTGTGTCTCAAGGAGATAGGGACTTCGGATCTGATAGGAATGCAGTAGATAGTACAGCTCTGCCCAATCGTGTATCAGAGAGAGGGCCCTGAGTAAGGGCATAGTGCTTAACAAATGTGTGTTCAGAGGACCAACTGGCTGCTTTACAGATGTCAGCCAGGGGAACTTTGCGTAAGAAAGCCACAGAGGCAGCCAGAGATCTAGTGGAGTGAATTCTGATGCCAGCTGGGGGTGTAACCTTCATCTGATAGCACAGCCGGATGCACTGAGAAATCCAGTTTGAAAGTCTCTGGGAGAAATAGGAGTCCCTTTGGAACGCTCCACGATGGAGACAAAAGGTCTAGAAGAATTTCTAAAAGGTTTGGTTCTATCCAAATAGAAGGACAAGGCCCTGCGTACATCTAATGTATGCATTGTGGCTTCGAACGAGTTTGCATGTGGTTTCGGAAAGAAGGCTGGTAGGTGTATCGGCTCATTAATGTGGAATGAGGAATGCACCTTTGGAAGAAATTTGGGATGTAATCTAAGGGGAACCTTGTCCTTGAAAAATAGCGTATATGGTGGGTCTGCCATAAGAGCTGCTATTTCTCCTGCCCATCTGGCGGAGGTAATTGCCACTAAAAATGCTGTTTTCATCAAAAGGTGTAAAAGGGAGCAAGTGGCTAGGGGCTCAAATGGTTGTTGAGTTAGGCAAGATAGTCCCAAATGAAGGTCCCACGGAGGGGTAGGTGGTTTAATGTCTGGGTATAGGGCTTGGAGTCCCTTGAGGAAATGCTTGGTGATTGGATGAGCAAAAACAGAGGTATCATCAATTCTGTCATGAAAGGTTGTAATAGCAGCTAAATGGACTCTGATGGAGCTGAAAGGCCAGATTGCTTAAGGTCCAATAGGTAGTCAAGTATGAGCGGGAGAGGTAACGACGTGGGAAAAAGTTGTTTAGCTGAACACCAATGTGTGAAACGTTTCCACTTTCGTAGATAGGTGGTGTGAGTAGATTGTGTTCTGCTATGTAGGAGCACTCTGAACTTGTTCAGAGCAATCTAGTTCGTTTTGGGAGAACCATGTAGGAACCAGGCTTTGAGGTGAAGCATGGACAGGTTGGGGTGGAGAAATCGGCCGTGTTGCTGTGATAGGAGGTTCAGGATGAGGGGCAACGAAATTGGTGGTCGAATCGACATTCTGGTGAGGAACGGAAACCATGGTTGTCTGGGTCACGACGGGGCAATCAGGATCACCGTGGCATGGTCTGTTCGTATTTTTATCAGGACCCTGTTGAGAACCGGTATCAGGGGAAAAGCACAGAGTAAGTTCCGGTGCCATGGGATCATGAATGCATCTCCCAGGGAATGTTTGCCCAGTCCCGCTCTGGAGCAAAAGTCGGGACAGTTCGTGTTTTTCGCAGTTGCAAAAAGGTCTATGGTTGGGTGATCCCAAATGCAGAATATGTTGTGAATGGTTCTCTCGTCTATCTCCCATTCGTGATCCCAGGGAAAGCGTCTGCTTAATTCGTCCGCTGTGGTGTTCATCACTCCGGGAAGATAGGCAGCTGATATCCGGATGTTGTTCGCAAGGCACCAATTCCAGAGCTTCATAGCCTCTGTGCAAAGCGAGTGGGAGCGAGCTCCTCTCTGCCTGTTTACATACAACACGCAGGCAGTGTTGGGAATCAACATGTACGCATAATGACAGACGATTAGTGGGAGGAAGTGACGGCACGCATTGTGTATGGCTCGAAGTTCTAGGACATTTATGTGCAGGAAGGTTTCGGTTGAAGACCATAGCCCCTGGACCGTGTGGTGAGACATGTGTGCACCCCATCCTGTCAGGGATGCATTAGTAGTCAGTATGAGGGATGGAACCTCCTGTAGAAAAGGGACTCCAGAACAGAGGTTTGAGTGAACTGTCCACCACAGTAGAAAGTCTTTGACTCTGAAACGTATGGAGAGAGAGAGTCTTGTTTAGAGCGTGCACATTCGGTCTGTAAACCGTGGCCAACCACGCTTGGAAGCACCTCATGTATAGTCGTGCATTTCGGACCACGAAAGTGCATGAGGCCATGTGACCTAGTAGTTGTAGACCAGTCTCGAGCAGTGACCTGGGGACTGTTGCGAAGTCTTGTGGCCAGTAGGCTTATGGAGTTGAAGCGGTCGGGTGGGAGAGATGCCAACCCCGTCCGGGAGTCGAGGTCTGCTCCTATGAACTCCAGGTGCTGGGTGGGGCGTAATGTGGATTTGTTTTTGTTTATTTGTAGACCGAGAGATAGGAAACAATCAACGGTGAGCTGCGTGAACCAGAGAGCTTCGTCGAACGTTGAGGCGGCAATCGTCGAGGTAAGGTTATGACCCCTTGTTTCCTGAGGTAGGCAGTGACCATGGCTAGGAGCTTAGAAAAGACACAGGGGGCTGTGGACAGTCCGAAGGGTAGAACCCTGTATTGAAAATGTGTCGAGCCGAGGGTAAATCGAAGGAAGCGTCTGTGGGCCGGATGTATAGTCACATGGAAATAGGCATCCTGTAGGTCGAGGGCTGAAAACCAATTGCCCTGCTCCAGTGCTGGGATTATGGTGGTGAGAGTAACCATCTTGAACTTTTGTTTTTTGACACATTTGTTGAGCCGCCTGAGGTCAAGGATCGGTCGCCATCCCCCAGTTTTCTTTTCTGTTAAGAAATAATGGGAGTAAAAACCCTTCCCTTTGTGTCGTTCGGGCACAATTTCTATTGTTCCCAGTTGAAGGAGATGCTGCACTTCTTGAAGGAGCAGTTGCTCATGAGAGGGGTCCCTGAAGAGGGACGGGGAGGATGGGTGGCAAGGAGAGGAAGGGGATAGAGTAGCCAATTGTAACGACCTCTGTAACCCACTTGGTGGTGGTAATGCTCTGCCATTGATGGGAAAATGGTCGTAGGCGGTGTCCAAAAATGGGTGCATGCGGTGTACGCGCTAATGTGGGAACGCTGTTTTCTAAACACTCGACCAAGGCTTCAAATCTGCTTATTAGATGGAGGAGGTTGAGGCGCCCCCGAAGCATTGGGACGACGGCGCTGGTATCTCAGTCTCTGGCGTTGCTGCTGCTGTTGTTGTTCCTGTGATCTATGGAAGTGCTGTGTATATGCGGGGTAGCATGGATGGTGGTAAGGTTGGTATCTATATTGTCGCCTTCTGGTCGTAGGGGTTTGGATTCCTAAGGACCGGAGGGTTGCCCTTGAATCCTTTATTGAATGAAGTACATCAGTCGTGGTGGAAGCAAAGAGTTTGTCACTGTCAAAGGGAAGCTCTTCAATCGTAGTCTGAACCTCTCGAGGAAAGAAAGAGCCATGAACCTCGGTGCATAACCACTGCTGTGGTGGAGGATCTTGCTCCAGTATTGGCTGCATCGAGGGCCACTTGAAGAGCTGTACGTGATATGATTTGTCCCTCGGAAACTAGAGCTGTGAATTGTTGTTTCTTTTGTTCTGGAAGATCATCAATAAATTCCATGAATTTGTTATGGTTTCTGTGGTCATATTTTGCAAGAACTGCAGTATAATTAGCAATACGGAATTGTAGCGTTGAAGATGCATATACTTTACGACCAAAGAGGTCCAAGCGTTTACTTTCCTTGTTGGATGGGGTGGAGCGGGAATACTGCTGTTTGGTCCTCTGGTTGACTGAGTCTACTACCAACGAGTTTGGCGCTGGATGGGTAAAAAGGAATTCAGAGCCCTTAGAAGGGATGAAGTACTTGCGATCCGCTTGCTTACAGATAAGTAGGCTTGTAGCTGGAGTCTGCCAGATGGATTTAGCAGGTTCTAAACAGGTTGATTGGTAATGCCACCCTAGAGGAAGAAGAGGGCTGTAGGATGTCTGTTAACTCATGCTGTTGTTCGGGAACTTCCTCCAAATTAATTCTCAATTCATTGGCAACTGTTTTAAAAAGGTCTTGAAATTTTGAGAAGTCTTCTGACGGTGTTGGAGGAGGGGGAAGTAAGGCTTCTTCAGGCGTTACTTCCGTCTCTACTGGAATAGGAGCAGGACTTGATTGATCCTGCAAGTGTGACGGTGCTGCCTGGTGTCTTGTGTCATTGGCAGGTTCATCAGGTGGTGGTGCTAGGCAGGTGTTGCGCCTGGTTGAGGTGGAGTAGCACGTGTGTTCTCGAGGATACGATGCCCATGGGGCCCAATACTGCCATGGTGGTGGAAAGGGCATAGGTGGTGCCATCCAGGGGTTCACACACCAGGGGGCAGGATCATGCGAGTAGGATGAGGTAATTTTTCTATGACGTCTATTGGCTGGGGTCTGGGGATGGGAGTCTTGGTAAGGTGACCACAGGGGTATTTTTCAAGCTTCCTCCTCACTGGAGGAAGGCTGTTCAGACCCTGAATCAGCCATTGGAGAGAAGCAGGCATTCAGCAGGGTGACTGCAGGATAGGTGACACAAACAGATCTCTGGCCTGAGTAAATTGCAGTGCTGAGGCTCCTGTGTGAGGTGAATGCTGTGCAGGAGGAAGTTGCTGCACCGGTGTTTTGAGCCTGGGCTCACTGCCAGTCAGCCCAGTGGGTGTCGGTGCCGTGGCCAGTGCCAGGAGATCAATATCAGCCTGCAGGGGGTCAGGCATGTCGTGGAATGTCGGCACCACATCCATCGTGGTGCCGAACGGTGCCAGAGAGGCAGGCAGCTGGAAGCCTGAAGCCTTGGCACCGGAGCTTTGCGCCGCCGCCGCCGCCGCAGCCTCAGGCGGTTTTCATGCGGTGCCGGAGGAGCCCGGCTCGTCAAATGTGCTCAAGCGGGGAAGCACAGGGAGGGAGGCTGTAGATCTGCCTGGAGAAATCTTGCGTCTCATGGTTTTCTTTGGTGACAAAAGGTGCCCTTTTTTTGAAGTTTTTTTGTGCTTCTTTGAGGCGGGGGGCCTGTGGCGGACAGCTGAGCCGGAATCAGCGCCTGGGTCTGAAGCTGACACTAGGGACTTCTGAAGGAGGAGCCGTTTCAGTCTAAGCTCCCTGTCCTTCCGTGCCCTGGAGCTAAGTTTGCTGCAGTGGGCACATCTTTGGGGGATGTGGGTCTCCCCCAAACATTTTATACATTGTGAGTGGCCATCTGATAGAGGGATCGGCTCCTTGCAGCTAGAACAGCGCTTAAAGCCTGTGGAGCCAGGCATGTCCGAACCAGCTGCGGCTGACAGGAATGAAGAAAAAGAGATAGAAATGGTAACTAACTATGACTAACAACTAATTAACAACTAACTAAATAGAAGGGTAATTGTAACAAGAGGAAAGAAGTTCTTAACGAGTCTGCTGAGCTCCGTCTCAGGCCGGGGACAGTAGAGAAGGAACTAAGGAGACCGGCCGCGCATGCGTACTATTAAGCTAGACTCAGAGCAGGGGGCAGGTTCTGCACATGCGTGGCCGGTACGAGTACTGCGACAAAAATCTCCGAGCAAAGGCGCAGGGACGCACCAACACCTGGAGTGGAGCACCCACAGGGACATCTCTCAAAGAAGAAATTGTGATTTAACTAAAAACCAGTAGTGCTCCAACCAATCTGCTTGGAAGATTAAATGGTTGAAATGGTGTGTGTGTGTGTGTGTATAAGAAAAAACTTAGTATAGAGAAAATCCTTGGAACTACTTTTAAACTAGCTACAGGGCAGTCTGAAATGATATATAAATATTTGGAACAAATATTCCAAACCTATTAAAACTTCTGATCATAAAGATAAGAGAACATATGCATTAAAATGTTAGAAATCTTACATTTTCATATAAGGAAGAAAACATGACATGTCTGCAATATTTTAACATTAGAAACAGATTATACTAATTCAAAGTATGTTAAGAGTTGAAAATAGGTGGCCAAATTTAAGGATTATTTTTCTGTATTTGATACCTCATGGAACTACCTAAAGGTAAAAACAATAACTACATCAATCTGACTACTCAAAAGCAAAGTTGCCATCATACCTCTCAAGCGTGCTGCTCTGTGCAAAATCCATCTCACTTTTGGACTATTGTTCTATTATTATTTGTTACTTGTATTACCATAGTGCTTACAAGTCATGGACCAGGACCCCACTGTGGTAGGCACTGTACAAACACAGAACAAGAAGTTCTAGATGCATTTAGCAAAACTGCCACTAAACCCAGCAGTGAATACCTTGCCAACATCACGGGGTCTCTACTGCTCCCTGTGATCAGTGCTTTACTCACTCTATCCACGAACTGCAGGCAGATTAGGTTGTTGGAACTATTAGGAAAGCTGTAGGACTTCCACATTTTAGCTGAAGGTGGGACTGGGAAGAGCTACTACCAGGAAAATAAACAGTGAATGGAGGGGGAAGAAACAGGGAACAGGGATAAAATTAAAAAGTGATGGAACACATTGCAAGTTGAGAGGTATGACAGCTGAATTTCTGATTATAAAAATGCTAACATTTTAAAATCAGTGCTCTCAAGTTACTAAAGTTGATACAAGGGCTTTATAGAAATATACATTATCTAATGGCCACATTTTGGGCCTTTTATTATTCAATAAAAAAATTTCTATTGAAATTTACAGAGAACATAGAAAGAACACAGCATACCAACTTCACCCCAGTGGAAAGGATTGGTGCCACCTGTTGTGCAATTGTACACCATGATGTTTCTTGGTCTGAAAAAAGCATCACATATAATTAAAAATAAATTAAAATTTGGTACACAGTAGCCCAAACCAGAACTATTTATCCAAATCGCTCTTGTCCCCTGAATTCTGGAGTTTGGATAAAGTGGGAGACCAATCTAATCACCTTAATTTTATCTCCGTACTTCAAGCATTTTTCTTCCCAACAGTTATCATAATAACCTCTCTCTCTCTCATGAAACAAATATTTAAGTTTCAACTCTAATATTCATAATTTAAACTGACAGCCATAAAGATCAGGAAGGAATTTCCCCCTCATCTACATTATTGCACAACTGACTAAACACATTATCAGATACTGGCCATTGGCTTAATGGGCTAATATGGTGAATCCTAAATTCCATAATAGTGTGGGAAAAGCAAACTACAGACTAGCAGTTAATAGATGGTTAGGTTTATAGAAACATCACACAACCACTTTTGGGGCTAATTAAAAATGAACTGCATTGTCACCTGCTATACCTATTAACTCCAGAATACCAAGCTGCAGCCAGTGTTGTGTTGACAACTACATCTACTGGAACAAGATCTGCAACTGCACTGTTGGAGGCTCTCATTGTTCGAAGAATTCCTTTTCCTGCCTTAAATAACAAAAACAGAAGAGATACCAATAAAACATTTCAAGTAATGTGTTTCCTTTCAAAGACAGTTGTATTAAAATGTTTACTTACCGCAATAAAAAGACCACTGGGCCCATTAAAGTTATCAATCCATCCCTATTGTGTAAAAAAAAAAAAAAAAAAATACAAAGCAATTTCAGTAGAAGTTTACTGAGTTCAACATATAGTTTGCATTTGACAAACATTTACCGTTACAATTTAAGGAGACAACATTTTACTTCCCCACTCCTACTTTTGTTTCAAATATAAAAGGTGCTTTCAGTTTGCGTACCTGTGACAGAGCATTTAATTAAACAGCTACTACAACTCCAGCAGAAGAACCACACACAATTTAACTAGCTCCTCAAAATGAGCTGCTGTGTATTCATTTCTTACCAAATAAATGGTGGGATTAAAATAATTTTGTAAAACACATTTATAGTTTGAAGGAAGTTTCCTAACAGCAGCTATGAAGTCAAGACATACTTTGACCTGAGCTACTTCCAGTGACCCAGAGAAGTAGATAAACAATTTTGCTGTCCCTTATTAGATTTCCTGCCATTTTCTAGAGTAGGAGTCTCTCAGTTTTTAATGCCTACATTCAGTACCAAAAGAAAGGACAATTCTGATTTTGGTGATCTGTAAAAGCTTGAGAAAGCAACTCATCTTGGCCCAGATTTTCTCCTAAATTAGGAAAACAGCCCCAAAACTAGTCACAAGAGGACTACCCCAGATTGGGAGAAACTTCAGATAGCATTCAGCTGCTAAAGCAACATCTAAAACACTCCCTTTCCTATGGCTGTCATGTAGAGTGGCTACAAACAGGGGGTGCTCCAGGGCATCGCTGTGCTCCGTTAATCCCCAGTTTCTGTTGCAAGTTGAAGGGGAAATGGGTCCGTAAAGGCATCTCCAGGATCAGGAAGCACAAATGTGGCAAAGAAAAAAAATAAAAGATCAAGGCTTTAGTCTTGCATGTGTTTTAGTCACTTAGAAGTCATGGGAACTAACTGATAAGAGAAACTTCAATTCTTTATAGATACACAGCAGCTCACTGAAGTCAAAACTACTTTCCTGAAGGCTACACTATTTAGTCTCCTTATCAGAAAAAGTTTTGGATGAACAGTTAAGTGTGTAAAATATGTGTGTATATAGTGAAAAATATCACTTTAGGATAGCATCATATTCACTCCAGTAGTTCGAACTAAATATACTCTTCCTGTGTTTTAACAAATACTTCTTAATTCACTTGATAGGCCGATACAATCCAGAGGTCAGAGTAATTTATCCTTTAAATCTATGGGTTTCTTACACAAAAACTACACACAGAAAGCTGTCAACCAAATGAGGCAGATTTGTAGCTCAGTTTGGTATCCACAAGTGACTAAGTTTCAACTTGGATTTCTATGGACTTCTGAACTAGATCCCTAGCAATATAGGCTATCAAGGATGCATGCATAGGTTACAGGTCAAGAAACATCAATTGTAGAATATTCAATGAGGGAGGCTCAAAAAGACTTACAGGGAAAGGCTCCTTCCAGCTGGCACCAACAATTGACGGCCGTATAATGGCTATGTTTAATTTTGCACCTTCCTGCTGCACAACATATTCTGCTAAGGCTTTTGTATATGTGTAAGTATTAGGCCTGTCTCCTATCAGTTTTGGAGTAATGTCCTTCACCAGACCATCATCCATCCACCTAAAGAATCAAAAGGACAAAGATTTAATTACTGTACAATTCACTTAAAGGAGTGCATAAGTCTGAAAGAAAGCAGAGAAATTAAAAACAAAACTTAAGAAAAATGTTTATGACTGCCTCATTTATTTCAAAGCAACAATCATAAGAAATTGAAGCTGTAAAGTTCAGCAGAAGCAATGTAGACAAAGAATGGCATAAACACAGTAAGGCAAGGAATTTTGCTGTAGTGTTTATTGGCAAGTTTTACAAGTTGCATTAGGAAAAAGCTTTGGAAGTAATTTAATACTGCCACTTCAAAGCTCTGTAACTGCCCTAGTGTCCAATACCAGATCATCAATGAATTTTAAAACCCAATAGCCTGATTTTCAGAGATGCTGAGCACCAATTTGCACTAAAGCTAACAAGCATAGCACCTTTGAAAAATCAGTCCTCAGATAAATCCGAACTTTTGACACTGGTATGCAAGCACATACATGTAGGTTGTACAATAGTGGCGTTCTGCAGATAATTTACACCAAGCTCACTTCTGCAATCTGTACAACTCCCTCAGATTTCACTTATGAGAAACAGTTTCCTTTATTTAGAAGCCAAAGCCTGATCTCATTAGAAGCAAAAAATAACAGTTGAACACTACCAGTATTTAGCCCTTAATGCTCACTCTGTTTAATAAACTCTCAGACTGGAGGTGAGTAAAGTGTGGAAGAACTGTACTGAAAGAAGAGTTTGATGTCAATTTCAGGAGACTAAGGGCTGGTCTATATTAGAAATCTTGCACCAATATGGCTAAATTGATTTAAAACCCACTACACTTAAAACAGATTTTTTTTTAATCACTTATCCCAAAGCAACATGGGTACAAGCAGAATTTAAACCTGCAAGTGTATCTAAAAATAAGGGCTTGCACTGGTGTAGCTTATTTAGTAATTCTGGTTAAAGTTTTCTTACACAGACCAACCCCATTATGTTTAGAAATATTGCAATGTGCTCTAGAAATTAAAGTTTATTTTATGAATTGAGTTAAAAATCTGAAGGATTATTTTTGAAGGAGGAAGAATTTACAGGAATTTTTATGAAATGGCAATATAAAAAGAAAATGGATACAAATTGATCTCTGATCAATACAAGATTTGTCAAAAGCAACAGATCACTGCACAAGAAAACCCACAACTGAACATATTGCACACCACCACATTTCCAGAAGTTTATAATTCAACTGAAACACAAAAATTGATAGGATAAAATAAAGTAATATCCAGTAAAATCCCAGAATTGCTTGCAAATTTGGTTTAAAATAAAAGCAAAACATATTTAATACGTATCAGTTCACAATTCATTCTCCCCCATTTTTCTGTAGTGCGTTAATTCATACCATATTTAAAAAAAGCAGTGAGGGGATAGAGTGCGTATTTGATACACAATTAGTGGACTTGGTCCATCAGTTATGGCTAATGATGAGACTACCATCTTCAAGATTTTATATTGCCACTTTTCTGCCTACCCTCTTTTCATTTAATGTTTACATTTTCTGCTACATGTCAGCTATATATGTTAAGTCATTTCCCAATTTTCTTGGCTCTTCCAAGATGATGTTAAACATATTTGGAAAAACTAACAGTGAGCAAGGTGAAAAACCCTCCTATAAGCATAGGCTCAAACTGAGAAACATCATGTTAGTTGGTGTGTAATGAAGGCTTGTCTGAGCATAGAAGTATTACCAGTTTAAATTAAATCAATTTTTAAAAAATTTAAAAAGTCACACCTTTAGTTAAGCCGGTGCAATTGTGTGCGTGAAAGCTTGCTTACACCTACTTAGATCACCTTACAAGGGAGCCTAAAATGGTGTAAGTTACATACTAAACATCTAGAAGGTGAAAACTGAAATAGACCACTTCTTACATCTTGTCTAGACTTGCTGAATATATTAGTATCTATTAAAAACAAGTTTTAATACCTTTAAAAATCAGTATTGGCAAAATCAGGGGAGACCATAACCAGCTATCATGTTTTTAAAAGGTATTAAAAACAGTTTATACCAGGTTTTTCATAAATTTTGAGCCAGAGAAGGGACCACTGTATAAAAAAGCCCACAGCACATTTTAAACAGCACTTAAAACATTGAACACTTTTTAGATTACGGGGGGAAAAAAGATGTTTAAGGCCTTTTCTGTACACACTCCTCTTGCTTTACCCTTCTCTTCTGGCTCCTTAGTATTAGTTACAATTTAGGTCTCTTTACATTTAGTGAATCAAATCCAGATATGATACGCAAGGGTGTATGTAATTCACTACTTTGGTAGGTAGGCCTGGATCTACAGAGGGTTAAAAAAGTAAAGGAATCTAAAGAGAACCTAATTTGGTGTATTTTAAATGTTTTTCAGGGTGCGGGGCAGAAAGTTACAGTAAACTACAACTTAGTTTAGCCCATAAAAATCCCTTATCATGCTTTCATATGCAGTGCTCTCCAGCTCGTCTTTGCAGAGAGCACTGAAAAGGTAGCAATCCCGCCACACTTGGGCCCAAATTCTGCCTTGCCATGTACACATGCAAACCCCTAATATATTTAATGAGAGCTGCACATGCATCGGGTGAATTTCATCCTTATTTTCTAACCCTTTACTTCATCTGAATGCCTCCCCTGTTTTTCAAACTTAACCTAGTCCTGAAGATCCTTGCACTTTAATAGCATACTGCAAAAATGTGATACCACCCTTCCTTCAGGGGAGGGACTTGGAGAGAAAACCACAAGTAACATTTCTAAGGGAAATTATGGTAGCCCAGGCTTGATAACAGGTGGTTCACAGCCCATCCCCTGCTTACAGATCTTTTGAATGGATGTTTCTCTGCACCATGTCACAGAACAATTGCTGCCAATGTTTTTGGTCCATTTTCTGTCCATCGTATTTGTTTAGCACCTATTTAGGTTTTTTAATTTTTTTTTTAAAAGAACCAACTTTTATACCTTTTCCTATGTTGTTTTGTGGCCCTGCTTCTGTTTCCCACTCACTAGTAGGGCGCACACAGTTTGAACCAGGACTGCCTCAGTGAGGCTGTTGTGTTCTTGTAGAGTCACTGAGTGCCGCAGGTTCCCTGGTTGCTGCCTTCACTTGCAGCCCAATTTACATTAACTACTCCTGTACCCACATTAGTGCCTGCTGTACATTCAAGCAGCCTTCAAAAAGCTACTCACTTTGACCCACATCCACTAGAGCACATATGCAGTGTGCACGCATAGGAGCGCATGTTGCACTGCCAGTCAGTCAAATGACCCCATATCCTTTTCCCAACACCCCCAGTGCTTTTCTCCACATCACCAAGTTTGTCCTTCAGCTGAATTCTGCAGGCAATTGTCCAGGTTTTCAGACAGTGTTTATATGCAGTAGCAGACCAGCAGAAATTACACTGAGTCCTCCTCTACCAACAATACTCAAGTAACAGTAAAGGAATTGGTTTCTAGCTCTGCATTTCTGAAAAACGATTAATTTTCAACCAATATACAAGTCCCATAGTAGTTATAGATTTGTAAATGTGCTGTTAACTAAGTATCTTGTTCTGGGTGCCAAACAAAGAAAGGGATAAATTATTCTCTAACATATCTATCTATAGTTCCAGTTGATTGTACTCTAACATTATCTGAGGAGCACATATGCATGTGTTATAAAGCCAAAATGATAATCTGATCTAATCCATTTGATGTGAGTATTCCAGATATTTTCCAGAAGAGAGTCACACATCAAAAAAGGCCAGAGATTGTGTGACACTTGTGCTGGCTTAGTATCATAAAGTTGTTAGGTTCCAACCAAACTAGGGGTTGTGGCAGCTGGTGGAATGTAACATACACTGCAGTGAAGTGTGGAACTATTTTTTTGTGGCAGTATGTTCCTAAATTTATCTTGCGACATAACAGACACTTCATCTGAAAAATAACATGCATTCTCCTTCCTTCCATGCCATGCAATGCTTTGACTTCTTATGCTTTGAATAAGCAATTTCTACTGTATTTCACACAAAGTGTTTTTATTTACATAGTCCCAACATCTAACACATAAAGAGGTTGCTGAGTTACTTCCACATTTAAATAGTTGTCATGCTGAGAAGTACTTATCTCTAAGCTTCTGAGTACCAGTTTGAGGAACATGGGAGTAACTCCCCTTTATACAGAATGACTCATGGCAGCAGGATTACCTAACACTAACATTAAAAATGAAGGAAGTTATTTATTAGAACAAGTACCAAATAAACACAGTATTCATTTGGACATGCATTTGTACACAGGGTGAAAGGATTTAAAATTAAAGTGATTTAAGTCACCAATTTTAATTATGGTTTAAATCATTAAGTAGGAAACCTTGATTTAAATTGATTTTAATCTTGTTTTGCATTTGAATTTTTAGTTATTTACCCTAAAAGAATGTTTAGTTTCCTGGTTGATAACCATTAAAATGAGATTTGCAATTAACTATAGCCTTTATAAAAAATGTGTTACTTTTTGATTACCAGGAGGATACATTATATTTAACTCCACATTTTAAGCAACTGTATAGTTTAATATACATTTAGTCTGTCTTAACATGATAAAATAAAGTAAAAATTAAGAAATGCATCATTCACCATTTTCTATTTACTCGATTTTTTTAAATGAACTCCTGACTTGTGTCAAACTCCATTTGGATAGAAAGTAAAATTCAATTAAAATGCACAAATAACATTTTAAAATTATTTATTAAATAAACAACATCAAATGCACTGGGTACCCAAGAATGAAGTTTATTAAAACATGTTTTGCATTTAAAACTGATCATTAAAAAAAGAAAGATGATCTGCAGTTAGTAAATTGAATTGATTCTTGAGGTGACTAGAAACACTTTGGCACTAGGAGATCTCATCCTTTCATAACTTTCATTTTATGTATAGACTGGAAGAGAAAAAAAAGCTTTCCTACCTTTTTTGATTCCCAATCAATCCATTTCTTAATTTTGAATCAATTGGTCATGAAACTGAACTAGTTGCATAAACTGAAATGAAGAAAATATTCTCTCTGCCCTTGCAGAAGAGAATACTACTGTAAAAAACAGGTTTAGTATTTTAATTAACTGTGATTTCAGGTGTCGAGTGACTATCACCAGTTCAGCAGTATGACTTTCTTTACAGGGTCAGTAGCAAACATTGTACTGCTTAATTTTTCTTTTTTAGATTTGTGATTTTAAAAATATAACAAATTAGGCTTTAACATCAGCGGTAATAATTTCAAATTAAAAATTAAATGTTTATTTTTAAAAAGGAAAAAAGTAAATTTTTAATACCTTTTCCCCCCACCATGCTTGTACAGCATCTCTCATCTGAGCATTTCAAAGCATTCTACACAAGGCCAAGCATCATAATACCTACCTCACCAATGTAGTATCATGACCAGTATATAGCTGGGGAAACTGAGGCATTGAAAGGCTAACATACATGGTCATGGTCACACAAAGCAGCAGCAGAACCAGAAATACATTTCATCTCTCAATTCAGTCCCATATTCTAATGCTACTTTCTTTTCACTTTAGATACATATATTTATTCATGAAATCTAAGCACCAGCTTTGAAATATCTAGGCTTCTGGAAACAGGTTCAAATTCTGTGAAATTCAATTCAGGCCTTAATTCTTTAAGATAGATAATGGAGTGTCATTAAAATGTGTTCTATAGAGGACTTTTTCATGGTAACCTAACACTGAGGTCTTACCTATTCTACCTGGGCATTAAACACCCATGGTTTGGGTCTTAAGGAAAAAAGATTTATACAACATCTTGACAACTGTTGTTAATACTAATTATACAGCTACTTGTGATGCCACGACATATGTTGCTTTACACAAGACCCTTATCAGTTATAGAAAAGGGTCTTTCCCCACTCAACCAGCTTTTAGTTTTGCCAAGTTTTTCAAACATTAAATTAGTTACATGCTAGATTCCTACCAGCCCAACACCTTCTTCCCTGTATAGGAAGTTATAACATTTAAAAAAGTAATTCTACACTTCCAGGTGGAAGCTCCCAAATAGTCAACTTCTATAAACTTATGTAAGGATTAAGCTCGTTTCAAGACTCTGATTTTACAGAGGAATTTAGTGCAAAGAGAGTACAGTGATCATTTAGATATGCACCTCTACCTCGATATAACGCTTTCCTTGGGAGCCAAAAAAATCTTACCGCGTTATAGGTGAAATCGTGTTCTATTGAACTTGCTTTGATCCACCGGACTGCGCAGCACCGCCCCCCAAGAGCACTGCTTTACCACGTTATATCCGAATTCGTGTTATATCAGGTTGCGTTATATCGAGGTAGCGGTGTATTTAGTTTTTTCTAGTTGGTAAAGCTAAATTTCTAGCTTCATAACTATCCATATCCTGGTCTGTCCTTATGTTATTGGGTTAATACATAGTACTTTTATCTGTAGCTTCAGATTAGCCCAATAATGCATGCAATCAACTTACTTCAAAAAGGATTCACAATCTTTCATTACCTAGGCTTCTAGTTACTTGGACAAAATCCAGCAAAGCTGCAGTAGAAAGCAGTGTCTTATTTCTGCATTTAAGTGCATGCTTGTCTGAACTCTGATCCAATGGCCTTTCAATCAAGTGCTAAACAGACTATCCAACCCCTAACTTTGTCTATGAAGTATTCACAGCACAGTTAATCCATGCTTTCAGATTAATAAAAAAAATCTGAGAATTTCTACAAGTGTTTCTTGATGCTCCAAAATAAGAAAAATGGCAAATGCCTTCTGTGAAAAAAGTTTCTTCCTACACTATATTTATTATTTCTATTACTTCTGCCATAACAAAGACAGCCTTTTTGAAAGGCTCATATTCTACCCACCATCATCCGCCACTTTACATTTAAGAGATCAAGTTGAGATCCAATTAATTAGAACCTAATCAAAAAAATAAATTTGGACAGTCACCTTAAAGAGAAAAATTGCCAAAAAAATTGATAGGGGAGTCAAGGGCAGTTACAGTACTTGAAATTACTTCGAGGAAAGATATCAACTTAATCTTTTTGGATCTACATTTATTGTAGAAGTAAACAGTGAAAATGGTCAAGAAAAACTCAAATGTATCTTCAATATTTGTTATAGTAATCTGAGGTTACTTACTGCAAAAATTACACTGTTGTGAAATTTATTACACTGATGTCCCTTTAATTACTATCCATGGGTATTCTTTATTCTCTTTACTAGAATCAGATTCTCTTTTCTTCCCTACTGAAATCCAGGCTACTAAACCTTACATTTTATTCTAACTCGCTCAAGCTTTTTGTCTATCCTCTGCAGCAGCTTCAGAAGATTAACCCACTAGAACCTAGGACTAGTTACAGTTGGCCAAATGAAATCTTTTGTGCACCTTACAGATGGGCAGCTAATTTTGGCTTGTTTATTGCTTTTCCCACTTGATGCTAGGACTCAAACTTTACTGTATTTGCCACAACTATACCACACATCTGAGTCAGAGGAAATTTACCCTTCATATAGTTTTGTTTTATTCACTGAAGTTTGTTGGGCAGGAAGTATAGTGTATTTTCACAGTTGGAAGGGGGCTCTGTCTGTCTGCTCTGGAGATATCCCCTCAGAGGAGTCAGAAAAACAGCAAGGGATTCATGAAGAACAAAGTTTAGTTCTGGCTATTTCTGACATCAAGAGGTTCTAATGCAAGGAGCAAGAGGTTACCCTTCCTTTGCAGTCACACTTGCCCATCACCACCACCATTCGTGGCCAGGCAGACTGCAAACAAAGTTAGCCTCTACAGACTATTTTTATTGTAATACAGTGTTTTGAAACCAGATTCAATTCTTGAGTCCAAATTTGATTTTTTTTTTAAACTACTTATTTCAAACAAAAAAATTAAACCACTGATCTTCAATTTCTTTTAAAGAGACGATGCCTTAGTGAATTGGAAACTGAAGTTTAAAACCATGCAACTTTAGAATACTTTAGGAAAACAAAAGTTTGTTTGGTTTGAACTTTAAGTTTTGCTAGATTTTATTTTTACATGCTACAGTATAGACATTTAACTTTATACTGAATTGCTAAATAATAGACACTCTTTTTAGTAGAATTGCTTGAGGGGGTTTTATAGGGTTGCCAGTGCTTTAGGAGGTTTTAACTTTTGGCATCTAATTATATGTTTAGTTTGATATATTGAATATTTATTATTTGGCTTCGAGGAGGTAGTACTCTGAATGGAAAAACAGAGACATTTATCCTAATTCTTGAATAAGTGATCTAAAATAAGTCACAACCTTCCTACACCTTAGTTTCCTCATCTGTAAAATGGAGATAATTGCCTCATCCATGTGTGTAGTTTTTTTATATTATGCTTTTCAAAGCCTTTTATCAATGTGTAATAGTACTGGAGAAGAGAACTGCAAGTAGGTGTGGATTAGTCAAGAAAAGCTATAAAGATTCAAAACATACTCTAAAGAACCTATCAGTTTCTTGGGGTCAACAGGGGGTGGATATATGATTTCTTCAATGTGCTTTCGATTGCAATAAGCATATGCTGTTGAAACATGCATGAACACCTCCAAATTCTTCATTCGCTGGGCCAAGATGACGAGCTGTTGTGTGGCAATCACATTTAACTGAACAGCATCTCTGTGAAGAAAACAACAAATGAAGATGAGTAAGAGTAAGCATGTCAGAGAATCATAAATTGAGGTAAAAGTCTCATGTGGTCATCTATTCACATCCCCCTACCAATGCAGACATAACATTTTCCCGCATCTTGTCCAGTCGATTTTTAGCTGTCCCTAGTAATGGCTTGCACCACTTTCCTTGTAAGACTGTTCCAGTCTTAGAATCCATAATATGGAAGTTTTTTAGTACTCAGTCTAGTTTTCACTAATTTCATGCCACTGTTTTTAGTTCTATCCCTGTGTACCATCTAAAAAAAAATTCCTCTGCTTACATGGCATACACTCTAGTCAAGTTATGAAACTTCTTTATTTTCCTAAAATAAAATCCTTCTCAACTAAAAACAATGGAGTGAAAAATGTTTACATGACAATCTATAATTGCTAGGCTCTCTTGCTTTCTTCACCTCTGACCCTCACGCAAGGTGTCTAACCCAGTATCAACAGATATTCATATATAAACCCACAGAGCCATCCACATCAGGCAGTTAACACATCAAGCTGAGCAAGATCTGCCCTGGTCAATACTTCAATGGGAGGTCTCCAAAGACTTCATGTTGGCAAGTCAATAGGTGATGCTCTCCCTTCTGAGTCAGTGCTCAAGTAATAACCAGATAGGCGGGGGACGGTTGGGGGAAGGATGGGCATTATGCTATCATGGGGGTCTTGTATAGAAGGAAGGCAACCAAAGATACCAAGGTATTGATTGCTTCTTGTCATTAAAATTTCCCTGGCACTTTCTGAAAGGCTAGGGATGAACCCAACTTTAATTTAGCTAGTATCTGGGCTGTGACTTTCTGGACACACAAATTTCACCTATAAAATTTCACATAAATCAGGTATTCTTTCCAGTTCTATTATATTACTATGGGTTGTTGCCTTCTTCCCCTGAGCTAGTGGCATTTCAGTAATACTGGTGGACTATTTATAAGGTTGTCAAAATTTTGTTGGGATAAAGTGCTATATTAACATCGAATACAAGTTTTTGAGGGGTTTTTTTTTTGCTTTAACGTAAGTAGAGTTACACAGAGATGACAGTTTTTCAGTAATGTCATATCAATTTTTCAAACAATCCCTACCCCATTGCAGCAAAAGCACAATCATTTTACAAAATATTACATTTTTTCATAACCTATTTTGGCTTCAACCTTCAGCTCTTTCAAAAGACCAAAAGAATTGACCCATGAAAAATTCCCTGCATTTCTAACTTAGGAAATGGAAAAAGTTCTGAAACAAAGTCCAAACATGTTCTGTGCCTGCTTTTTAGGTCAGAAGATGAATAATTTTGATCTTGAGTCAACTCTCTGGGTGCAGGAGAGAGATGAGGCAGAGACTCAACAGCAGGGAATTAAGTTCTGACCAAGGGCTTCCTAGGGGGACTTGTCAGTGAAGACTGCCCAAGAGAAATATCAGTTCAGCACACTTCCAGTTGCCCTTCCCAGCCAGCCCCAGCCATTTGTGTTCTGCTTTAGGAGATTCCAGACCTGCCAGCAGAGTGGAAATTACAGGAGGCTTGAGGCATTATGTCCCCACTCCAGAAGGATTTTTCACTGCTAAAGGCCTCTGTAAACCTAGCTCTTTAGCTAATTCCTATGTTGGTGACACAAGGGAACTGCCTAATTAAAAGAATTTGTGAGAAGGAAGTATAAAAAGGGGGTTTGTTCATTTTCATCATGTAGCATTCCCAGAGGGCCATGATCAGTATTTGCAGGGACTCGGAAATTACGGTTTCCTAACCCTACCTTTCACTCTTATATAGCCAAGTTTCTTTCCCTCCTCCTTCCTGAAAAGAGATTTCTCATATAGCAACAAAAAAGTCAAAAATGTACTGTAACATTTCAACATTAAAAAATTTTCTACGAAAAATGGATATACCAAAGCTTACTTTATCTCCTTTGCTTTTGTTAGTCCTTTTCTTCTACAAGAGTCTCTTTTCCTTAAGCTTTCAGTAGTTGTTTTCCCTCAATCTCTTTAGAAATTTCCTAGTAGTTTTCTCCTCACTCTTCCCCTTTTATTTCTCTTATTTCTCCCCACACTTCCTCTAATCTGTATTGCTACCCCTTTGCCATTACTTTCTCCTTCCATCTAACTACATATATCTTCTCTTCCCCTGCACCCACCCTTAGCATATATTTGATTCTCTGATCCCAGATTCTGTCAGATGAAGCAAGAGCTAGAATTTTATCCCCATACCTTCAGAACAAGAGCATTTTTGTTCTCAATACACCCTTACCTTCCAAAAAGGCTGACCATCAAATTACATATACGTGTGCACTTTTTTTATGATCTGGTTCATAAAATGGGTGGTGGTTCAGCTCAACTGCTGAGCCAGATGAATCTTGCTCTAGCCCATCCACATCTATTTATTATCATCCACCAGCTAGACTCATATCAGAAGCCATGGCAGCAGGAGCTCACAAGACACATGAAGGTGCCAAGACCAGTACAAGCAGCAACATTACTTAACTTTCTGTACACCTTGTGCCTGTACCAAGCCTGGGACCTGGCACAATCTTCATATTTGTCTTTCCCCAATAATGGCCCTTTATACTTATCCTTTAAATCCTAAGGGTTAAAACCTTCTTGGGGAGTTTCCTCATACAGAGGAAAAAATTAAATTGACCCTATATGCAGTGAAACTCATGAAAAAACAAGGGTTTTTTTTGTTTATAAAATTTTGCAGATAAATGTTATTTTCAAGCTGGTGTCCCCTTGAGGAATACACTAATATAATTCAATTACATTAGTTTTTTTCATATCAAGCTTTATACTCACCTCAGTGTTTCATTGAATCTGACTGTAGCAGCACAATGGAATACAATATTAATGCAGTCTATGAGCTTTTCTTTGTCCTGCTCACTAAGGTCCAGTTCATTCTGCGTAAGTTCACTAGTAACTGCTATTATTTTCTCTTTAAATTCAGGCTGTTCATCTCTTAACCTGTCAAAGAGCTGTCAAAAGAAAATCAGGACTAAAAATAAAAATTCACACAATGATTTCAGATGTAGCAAGAGAAGGGGCAAATATTTTCTGCCTATAACATGGAGTTATACTTCCCTCAATCATAATGGATATTAAAAAATTTCATATCACATATCAGTACGAGTTGGGATGAGCAAGTTATTCAACTGGCAAAGCAGCCAGTGAATTATGCAGGTCATTCCAAGTTAATGATAAAGCTGAACAGGCATGATGCACTTTTTTAAAACTTTATTTATTGGAACTACTTTTCTGTCCTTAAAGCTAAATTCCTTAAGCTCCCGACAGTCCAAATGCTCAGGGCTCCAACAGAGCCATAGAAAGCTTCTACAAATTAACTAAAGTAGCTATAATCAACTTACAGTCTACTATCTCTGGCCCATTCAGAGCTAAAAAGCAAAACATTTTACCCTATTTTCCACTGTATAATACTGTAGTCTAGAAGTGAGAGGACTCCAGATATCAGTCTTTAATCCCATGACATTTAGGTCTAGAAGATGTGTTGCTGACTCAAGAATGAACACACCCCAAGGCCTTAAGCCAGGTGTCATTCTGGGGAAAGTTTCACAATTGAGAAAGAATGAATAAAAACCCACTTCTCTTGCAGGTAGTTGCAAAAGAGACGGGAGGATTTAAGATTGTTCAATGGGTTGGAATGTCAGAGTAAATCACAGGAAAAACAATTTAGTAGGCAAATGAAAAGTGAGGCTGTTAGAGGCACAATAAATGTGTTCATCACATCTGTATTTTATTACATGGATTACCACCATATATCTGGTGTATTACATACAAATACAAAATCCTTGTCTTTTTTTCCTCCAGTAGATACCCAGAAAATTTACAGGGGTAACAAACTAACAGTAATGGAATTTCCACATGCTATGGTTTTAATGTATCAGTACAACAGAACCTTAGCGTTTAGGTCAATATCCCAGGTCAGACAGGAAGTTCAGTTTAGATTAACATCTAAACAGAACTTTGAACAGAACACTATCAAAATGTTTTAATCCAACATCACATTAACAAAAATGAAAAGCCTCCAGTTAGGTAGCAGCTACTACTACTGAAAGTGTTGTTTAAAGACTGAGCTTTCAAGGTTGTGCTCCCCATGAAAAGGGGGAATAACTTTACTAAGACACCAAATTTTGCAAAACAAGTAATGGTGAAGTCTATGCTTTTCAAATACTACTTTTTGAGCATATAAAGTGCTACTGGAAATCAGAGTTAAAGATGCCAGATGCTGTGTAGCAAAGAACTTCTCTAGACCAGCGGCAAGGAACCATGCGGCCCATTAGGGTAATCTGATTGCAGGCCGCGAGATATTTTGCTGATGTTGACCTTCCGCAGGCATGGCCCCCCGCTGATCCCAGTGGCCGTGGTTCACCGTTCCCGGCCAATGGGAGCTGCGGGAAGAGGCGGGATGCACGGACGTTGGCCAGGAACGGTGAACTGCGGCCACTGGGAGCTGCAGGGGGCCGTGCCTGCAGATGGTCAACGCCAGCAAAATGTCTCACAGCCCGCAACCAGATTACCCTGATTGTCTGCAGGTTGCTCACCACTGCTCTAGGCATAAGTTTGTGCTGAGTTCTTCACATTTACACATACAGTCCTTCACATTTATACAGACACATCAGAAGTTATTTGGTCAATCTGAGACTTCTTCAAGCTTAAAACACAACTGCTATTCTTGTCTATACCATTACATAGGTCAGTGCATGGTAGCATAAAGCTGAAAAGAACAATAAAAGACTCCTTAGTTTCTATAACCACACAGCAATTGAAACAGTAAATTAAATCCAATGAAGTGGCTAAGCATCTGACTAGGATTTAAATGCTCCTGAACTCTTGATTCCTGTATCCCCAGAAGGAATTGAGAACAAGAGCCATGCTTCTGGATTTAACAGAGGTTCTTTGTTCCTCAAAGTTACTGCAATTGGAGTAAGAGAGAAGTTGGCTGAATGCCAATATAGTTACACTGAAGGCATGAACTGATAATAAATCACTTTTCTTTAATCAGTTAAAATGGGGAGGAACTGGTTGAGAATTTGAAAGTGGAAGGCAGTTTAGGTGAAAGTTTTCATGAAATGGTAGAGCTCATGATTTTAAGGAATGGTAGGAGGGAAAACAGCACAATAAAAACAATGAATTTCAAAAAGGCAGATGTTAGCAAACTCAGGGAGTTGGTAGGTAAGATCCCATGGGAAGCAAGTCTAAGGGGAAAAACAGTTCAAGAGAATTGGCAGTTTTTCAAAGAGACTTTAAGGGCACAAGAGCAAACTACCCCATTGAGTAGGAAAGTATGGCAAGAGACCACGCTGGCTTAACCAGGAGATCTTCAATTTTCTGAAACTCAAAAGAGAGTAATAAGCCTTGTGGAGAGAGGGGAAGCAGCAGATGTGGCATATCTTGACTTTAGTAAGGCTTTTGATGCAGTCTCGCATTACCTTCTCATAAACAAACTAGGAAACACAACCTAGATGGAACTACTATAAGGTGGCTGCATAACTGTTTGGAAAACCGTTCCCAGAGAGAGTCGTTATCAGTGGCATATCCAGTGGAGTCCCGCAGGGATCAGTTCTGGGTCAGTTCTGTTCAAGATCTTCATCAATGATTTAGATAATGGCATAGAGAGTACACTTATAAAGTTTGCAGACGATACCAAGCTGGAAGGGGTTGCAAGTGCTTTGGAAGACAGGATTAAAATTCAAAATGATCTGGACAAATTGGAGAAATGGTCTAAGTAAATAGGATGAAATTCAGTAAGGACAAATTCAAAGTACTCCACTTAAGAAAGAACAAGGAGTTGCACACATGTAAAATGGGAAATGACTGCCTACAAAGGAGTACTGCAGAAAGGGATCTGGAGGTCATAGTGGATCACAATCTAAATATGAGTCAACAGTGTAACACTGTTGCAAATAAAGCAAACATCATTCTGGGATGTATTAGAAGGAGTGTTGTAAGCAAGACACAAAAAGTAATTCTTCCTCTATACTCCGCGCTGATTAGGCCTCAACTGAAGTATTGTGTCCAGTTCTAGGCACCATATCTCAGAAAAGATGTGGACAAATTGGAGAAAGTCCAGAGAAGAGCAACAAAAATGACTAAAGGTCTACAAAACATGACTTATGAAGGAAGATTGAAAAACTTGGGTTTGTTTAGTCTGGAGAAGAGAAGACAGAGCAGATATGATAAGAGTTTTCAAGTACATAAAAGGTTGCTACAAGGAGGAAGGGAAACATTTCTCCATAACCTCTGAGGATAGGACAAGAAGCAAGGGCAGTTTAGATTGGACATTACGAAAAAACTTCCTGTCAGGGTGGTTAAGCACTGGAATAAATTGCCTAGGGAGCTTGTGGAATGTGCATCATTGGAGATTTTTAAGAGCAGATTAGACAAACACCTGTGTCAAGAATGGTCTAGAATCTAGATAATAGTTAATCCTGCTATGAGTGTAGGGGACTGGACTAGATGACCTCTTGAAGTCCCTTCCAGTCCCATGATTCTTCCCGTAACCCCTCCAACTGTAATGGGGCAGGAAGAGGCTGGAAGCCTATAGTCACAGAATCATAGAAACAGAATATCAGGGTTGGAAGGGACCTCAGGAGGTCATCTAGTCCAACCCCCTGCTCAAAGCAGGACCAATCCCCAACTAAAATCAGCAAAGTGTGCCCAGGAAGCCCCCTTAAGAAGGGGCCTTCAGTCATTCCTCCCGACTGCCACCAATTTCTTCAGACAGGAAATTCTTTAACAAAATAGTTCATAAACAAGGGAGCCAAGGCTGTTTAAGCTGCAAGTACCGTGTAGCTTTCCAGAATGCAGAAGTTGACAGTCAAAACACAAACCTGTGGGATCCAGCAAACTCCAACACCTGTTAAGATAATGCCAGATATACCACATGCCCCACAGTCTTAACTCAGGCCCTTCCAATTGCTTCCCTAGGGAGTCCCTCAGGGCGATTACAGTTAAATCTGTGTGAATAACTGATTTGTCAGTTTGCTGGCAGTTCTGGAAGATTGAAAGTTGTTCAGTGAATTGAAAAAGTTAACATTTCATTTCAAGCTTGTTGTTATTGGTTGTGTCTTGATATAACCTTTAGCCCAGCAGTTATGGCACTCACCTGGGATGTGGGAAACCCAGGTTCAAATCCCCACTCTGGAGCAGGGACTTGAACACAGGACTCCCTGATCCTACCTGAACATCTTAACCACCAGGTTACATGGTATTCTGGGGTGGGTGTCTCAGTCTCTCCTGTTGAAGCTATTTCACTTTGTATAAATACATAGATATACGTTCAGTGAGAGAGTCTATAGCTTTGTGCACTCATCTGGGAGGTGGGAGAGAAAGACACACCTGAATTCTTGTCTCTGCTTCTATTAATATTTAATTGTGCTGTTTCAGCATTTCTAAAGTTTTGTTTTGACCACAACAATGCAAACTAGACACAAATTAATGAAATGTTTTATTTAACCGGAATTCACATTTGTGGAGGCAGGGAGGAGAAAAGGGATTCAGACGAAATAAATTTGCCCAACTAATTAGACTACTACATCAATTCCCAAGATATGGATATCAGCAGGGAGGATGAAGAGGAGCAACGCTGGGGAAACTTAAGTTCTTAAAATCCATTGATCCTTGCTCTGAGGAGTTCCTCAAGGCAATTTATCTTAGCTCTCACTATGTGATTCATTGTTCAGGGTGATGTATACCATTTACAGTTAGTAGTCCCTAGAACAGTGATGTAACAGAAGACAGGAAGACATCATGGGAGTGTTTGAACAGGAGTACAAACGTGGAGTTGTGCTGGACACAGAGGAGATGCCAGGTGATATTAGGATGAGGTCAAATACTGCTATATTCCCAGCTATTGCTACGTCCAAGCCTCCTGAGGTGCAAGTAAGAACTCTGGCATCCAACCAGGGTTGAGTTGATTTAAATCACTAGTCAGGAAGACTCGATTTAATCATGGATTTCCACATAAAATTGCATTCTTGTTGGTTGTTATAACCTTAATACATGTTCTTCACAACTCAGAGATAGATGACCCAAACTGGGTCTCTTTTACAGCCAGCTGCCATTATAGCTTTTCCTTTCTAGTGAGAGAATGGTATGGTAGATCTCAAATTAATGAAGGCAACACTCAGAAAGACCTCAACACTTCTGAAATATGCTGCTCTACTGGCCATTAATTACATTTTGGAAAGTCAAAAAAATAGAAAATGCAGAGTTAGTAGTTTGTTTGAGCGCACTTCCAAGATCTCAAATTTCTATGCCAGCTTCTACATTCCGTAAGGCACTGCTAAGCACAAGACTTAACTCCCATGTAACACCACTATTTGTTACTGAATTAAGATTTAAGTTCCCCATCCTTTCTCCCCCTTGTGAATGTAATTCTTTGCATCGCTATCAAAGTCCCTGTCTCCGATACTCAGCCAGCATGCTCCTGGATTCTTCAGTCCATCAACATTGTTCTAGTCGGATAGAAAGACTGGAAAAACAATGCACTCCCTTCTCAGAAGGTGTATTCCCCTCTTGAAGGGAGGAATGCCTCTCCAGTGTTATTTACTTTCATTAGCCCAGAGCACTGGGTGCCCAGGGTAGCAAAATATTAACAGTTACTTTGTCAAAGAGAAATCACTGAAATTCCAAATTGAAGAAATTTCATAGTAGGCTCACATTGTAATGTAGATTACTACTAACCAAAATTCATGGGAAATGGGGGATGCTAGATCTCCACAACTCTATAAAAAAATTGAGAATATTTTGAAATGTTGGTATAGCTTATTTTGGTAAATTTAAAGAAATAAGCTATGTTGATAAGCACCTCCACTATACAGTATAACTTTATGCACACTAAGGGGTTGCACCAATTTGACTAATTTCTAAACTACGATAGTTAAGTGGTACAGAAACTGCAGACAAGGGTAATTTAATTTCCCTGTAAACCACACATTTAATTTTACATCTTCGGCAAGATTTTCACACCGTCTTCCAGCTAATTCACCTTGGGGCAGCTCTAATAATAATAATAACAACTCTACCTAGCTCTTAGAGTGCTTTTCATCAGTAGACCTCAAAGCACTTTACAAAGAAGGGATATGTTTTCCCTATTTTACAGATAGGGTAACTGAGGCACACAGAGCCGAAATAACTTGCCCCAGGGCATACAGGAGGCAGAGGCTGAATTGGGACTAGAACACAGGTCTCCTGAGTCAGTGTTCAATGCTCTATCCATAAGGCCACACTACCTCCCTACAGGTGACTACACATTTTATTAGCAGACTGTAAAATACAAGTCATTTACATGACAATCATTTGACATTTCAACACTCCTTTGCACTTTAACACACAAGATAGCTGAATTAAAAACAAGACCTTTTAACAAAGCTGAAAGCGGGTAAGACGTTCCACTTGATATGTACATCCTCTTACCCTCACCGTAAAACCTATCACTGGGCTTTTCACTTGAATGCAAAGCACACAAAAAAGTCATCAGCAGAACTTAAAAAAAACAAGCATATAATATGGTATATGACATTCAAAGAATGCGTATCTGTCCGCAAGTTTAAATGGCAGAAAACAAGCTTCATTATGCTCATCTGCTGTATGTGCCCCTCTGTCTCCAGGAGGGAGAGGTCTATTTTCCTTTAATTTGTTAAAAGTCAATGCAACCCTGATATTTAGTTATTAATACCACAGCAGTCAGTTATTTGGAAGTTCGTATAGCAAAAAAACCTGTTCCAACATGTTCACGGTTGCTCACTATTTCAGAAGTTTCTTTACAATGGGGAAACGAGGTTTGTATCACTTCTTTAGTCAATTAAACACAAAGCTTCCAGAGACATACCTTACAGCTGATCATTTCTTCCATTCGTTCTTGAGGCGTCTGACCTGCTTTATGTCTCACCAATATATAAACGGCTTTCACTTTAGGGCAGGACCTCAGTAGCTTTTCCAGAAGCACCTTTCCCATGAAGCCAGTAGCTCCTGTGAGGAGGACATTCTTTCCTTCATAGTATTCAGGGATGGATACCATTATGACCTTAAAGTTTAACAAGAATACATTAGAAAAATGTCACTTTATGCAGGCCTACAGATCTGTACCTCCTTCATTATAATACAAAGATATGAACATTCAGTCCTGTGGTTGAAAGTAGAAGCTCACTGACCAGATTCTTCATCTATCGGTATCCCCTTCCTTCTTACACAAGTAGGTCTTAAGTTTAAGCAAATGCCATAGGTTTTAGAAGCAATTCACAGAATACCTTTTAAATCTTTTACATGATCTGGATCCATGCTACTGGCACAACTCAAGTTTTCTCCCTCTGCCCCATCCCAATTTCTCCCTTAGTTTCTGGTTATTCAGAACTGGCTCTAAGTATTTAGCCAACAATATTTTCTTTTTCATTAAGTGAAATAAGCCACCTGCTTTGCACAGCTAGATAGATGGAGTTTTAAAGAGACTGTACAATATAAACAGAAATTGTATATACCCACTTTAAGTAACCACCCATGGGACCAATAAAAACTGGGTGGCTGCTACAGAAAGTTTAAGGTAAGTTTGTTGTCTGTAGTGTATGTGTTTGTGGTATGCTTGCTGCTGGACTGGTCATGTGGTCTGTTTGTTTGGGGGACAGTGTGCTGAGCCTAGCAGGCTGCTAGGCAAGGCTGAGAGCTTCTTAATGAGGCTTTGATCCCCAAGTCCTTTAGCATCCATCAACCCTTAACCGGGGGCGGGGCTACTCAGGAAGACCAGGGCTTTAAAAAGCCCACTCCTAAGCGGCCAGAGGAGCTAGTGAACAGGAGCGGCTAACAGGGGAGTTTTGCAAAGGAGTTCTCCAGGTGAAGGAGGTGCACTTACGTAACCCTTGGAGTAAGTTTGTTTGGGGGGTCGGGGGCAGCTAGATATACTTAACATTCTTTAAACTTAAAGCCAAAACCACCCCGATAAAAACTAAACGTCAAAGGAATGAGCTACAGGAGTAAAAAGAGAATGAAGTAGAAGTCCAGCAACAGAGTGGGGGCTATTCAGTTTATTGCACTGAATAAAGCATGTATGATATGGGCAGGTAGCGTATATTTGCATTTGGTGCATGGAGCTCCTGGCCCTCAGAGACTGCGTACGGGCTTTGGAGAAAAGAGTGGCTGAACTGGAGGAGCTAAGAGACAGAGAGGTATGTATATGAGACTTTCCAGGACACCATAGAACGGTCTCACCCCCGGTCTGACAGCCTTTGTGCTGTTGAGGAGGATGAAAGTGTCAGGGAAGGAGAACATCCAGCTAGAGCAGAAAGAAAGAAACGATTCCATAGTTCAGACCCTCCTTCCAGATGATGTCATGGTATCCTCTCGCCCTGAGGATACCTCTCCGGGGGAGGGAACTCCAGTTATTATGAAGATACAGGTAATAGTTATGGGGGATTTGATCATTAGAAACATAGATAGCTGGGTTTGTGATGATTATGTAGTTCTCCTGGTTCCTTGCCTGCCTGGTGCAAAGGTTGCAGCTCTCTTGAGACATCTAGATAGATTTATGTGTAGTGCTGGTAAGAAACCGGTGGTCGTGGTACACATAGGTACCAATGACATACAGAAGGATAGGAGAGAGGTCTTGGAGGCCTAATTTAGGCTGCTAGGTAAGAGATTGACGTCCAGGACCTCCATGGTAGCATTCTCTGAAATGTTTCCAGTTCCACGTGCAGGGCCAGACAGACAACTGCAGGGTCTAAATGTATGGATGAGACGATAGCGTAGGGAGGAGGAGCTTAGACTTATTAGGAAGTAGGAAAACTTTTGGGAAAGGGGGAACCTATACAGGATGGGCGCCACCTAAGCCAAAATGGAACCAGATTGCTGGCACTTAAAATTGAAAAGGTCATAGAGCAGTTTTTAAACTAAGGACTGGTGGAAAGCCGACAGGTACGGAGGAGCATGTAGTTCGGACAGAGATATCCCTTAGGGAAGGATCTAT